AAAGCATGTTGAATCTAGTTTCTAATGAAATAAACGAAAGTCAAATCTGAGTTTTTTATGAAGAGTTGTCTAATTTTAACTTAAGGATATACAGGCTGTAAGACAACAGCATCAGGGTTGAATTACGAAATTCTTTTTAATTTGTATACAAGGATTTATAGATTAAGCCATATATTTTTGGAAAGCTTATTGAGTCTACTTTATAATGAAACAAGCGGAATTAAATTTAGAGTTTCCTGTGAAAAAATATATAATTTTTATTAGAAGGTATACAGGCTGTTTGGCAGCAGTGTATGATGTGGATTTCAAAAATTGTTATAATTAATCTACAAGGAATTACGATATGTGCCATATATGGTTAGAAAGCTTATCAAGTCTAGTTTCTAAGTATTAAAGAGATCATAATTTTGATTTGGATATATTGAGATATGACTATTTTAATGAAAAGAGGTCAGGCTGTCAGTATTAATTAGTTAAGTTAACCCTTGTGTAACTTAGTTGATATTTGTATAAATGATCTCAAAAAGGGTTGATTAAATTCTGATATGTTGAAATGATCTTGGATAGGCCATTAATTATTTTGGGAAAAAAAAACTAAGTGGTGGAATCGAATGGAGGTAAGTAGAATCTCACACACTTTGCTTGTTTTCAAATCTATATATATATGTTTTTAAATGAATGAATGTTTTATTTCTTTATTTTCGATATATGAAAATAGGATCAAGCATATAATTATTTTATGTTTTTGCTATGTAAATGATGGATCATTTGTAGAGACCCGCACCCAACCTGCGAGGTATTGTCCGCTTTGACCCAAAAGTCTCACGGTTTTGTCCCACAAAAGGCGCCTCACAAGTTTGGACTTAAGTCTCTACATATATATCATTCCTTATCCACACATTCTCCTGATGTGGGATTGGGGGCATTACAATAAAAATTCTAAAAAGTTGGTTTGAGTCGATTTATTTCTTCTTCAGTACCTGGTAAAAGCCATCCTGTTGGTATAGATAAATCTCTAATATCCATAAATTTTGGTTAGTTTTTTATTCAAATTTTTGTGGTTCAAAAATTTCAATCAGTTTGGGATCTATATTTTTTGTAGATATCGTTGTGGTATTAGTAAACTCATATATTGCAGTCTAATTTATGGATAAATCATGAGACTGTATATTTATATAAGAATTTTGTGCTTTGATACGTAAACAAAGACTTTTTTCTATTAAAGGATCAAATATCGAAAGAAATATTGAAAGAAAATAATTTGGTTTAACTTTAAAAGCAACAAGATCGGATGCTAAATTGGATTGGATTCCTCCAATTACAACATTAACTGAATTTGAAAACCTTTAATCCATTAAAACAGTAAGAATGGGTATATCATTTCCTGATATAAAAAATGGTTTTATAGTAATCATAATAATACTTATATGAACATATTTTATCTTAGAATATTTTTCTAGAAAATGGTTTATTTTCTATTAAGAAAATAAAGAGATTTCTACTAATCCTTATTTAGAATTATTAGTTATTGTGTAGCCAGACACTTCTTCTATATGGCGTTTAAACCATGGTTGAAAATTTTCAAAATAATTGGTTTTATAAATTTCATCTTTTTTGATGAGTTAAATTTATTTTAATTTTTCTTCAAAAATAGTATAAGTTTTTCTCATAATATTTCGTAATGAAATCATTTTTTCTCTAACAAGATTTGTTGAAGAAGTAGTTTCTTTAAAGCCAGTTAAAAAAAAGGCAACTAAAGCCCAAAAATACCAACAATAAAATCACAAAACCTAAAATATGAGCTTCAAAATATGAAAACCAGATAGAGAATAAAGTAAAGTTTCAAATAGACTTACTATTTAGAGTACAAACTTCAAGCTTTACTTCGTTATATATATATTTTACAAACTGCAAATTGCAAACTTCAAGCTCAGATATTTTACAAACAAACTAGCTTTGATACCATTTACAAAAGAAAGAAAGGATCGAAGAGTTACACACTAAAAAGAAAGAAAAGTTTTGAAGGTTTTTAGGATGAATGGAAGTTAGGAAGGAAAATTACAGAAAAAATTGGAAGGAAGCCTCTGCTTTGTTATCTGAGCGGTCTCTATTTATAAAAAAGAAAAGTTTAAAACAATGCATGAATGTTTATCTTTTACACCGTAGAAGATTGAAATTTGTCTACTACATTAACTGTTACAATGATTTCTACTACAGTGATTGTTACAGTAACTATTGTTAGTTGGTCCTAGGCTTTAGATAGCTTTGTTTGTTTTTATCGGCAGCTTCTAGAATAGGCTTATTCTCTTTTAGAATAGTTTATCCTTCTAACCAATTACCCAGATTATGAACCTCTTCATCCTCGGGGTTGTAAGATTGAAGGGATGTTGATCTGGATCGTCAAATAAAAAAATTGTTAGTTGAAAAATTTTTGAATTTTATTTCACCTCTTATATCTTCACCGCTACCAAATTCCCAAACTCAAATTCTGCCTTGACCATGATCCTTTTGACATAACAAGTATTGAATTAGAAATTGTTGGAGAAATTCTAGTTCAAAATATCTCTTTTGAATTAATCAAAGACTCCCCAGCCTTTATCAAACATTATTTTCATCAAATGATAAAATATGCCAAACATTTTTTTTTATATCCATTTTCATATAATTAATCTTTTTGGAATCTTTCGAAAAAAAAATTCTATCAACCCTATCAAATATGAGAAGTACAAAAAATTTATTTTGACAATCTCTCGGAACCACCAATGGATGCCTTTGAAAACTATGATAACTTAAACAAAGTTATTCAAAAATATTCCAATCGTTCTCATTACCAATTCCAAACATGGATTTAATGATGCAAAAAGCAAAAACCTTGTTTGATCTTGCCACCAGAACTATTTTTCCAAAAACTGCTACATGGACTGATGGCAGAAGAATTTTTGTGCTCAAATATTATACTCCACCTGAAGATCTAGAAATTGAATCTAAACCAGAAGCATTAAAGCTCATGCATCAGCTTTCAGTTATGGAAGATCTTGACCATCCACAAAAAATTCTTTTTCATTAATTTAGCAAGAAAATTTTTATTTTCATTAATAAATTTAATAGTAAAATTATATTGACAACGAAAATTATACCATTTTATTCTTTAAGGATTATAAGATAATTTTTTATTTTTGAGAAAATCTCGAATTGATTAATTATCAGTTCTTATCACAAAATTTTCAGGGGCTACAAATATATGAAACCTAGTAATTGCATTTTTAATGGCTAATAATTCTTTTTTAAATATAATATTCTTCATTTCATTTAGTTTAAAATTTTTCGAATTATAACCACGAATCAATTCATCTTTTTGATGAAAGTTTTTTGCTTTTAAAACACATTTTCAATGTTCATCACTAGCATCTATTTTTAAAATTAATAAATCTCCTTGTTTAGGAAGATAAATTTTTAGAATAGTAGCAAGTTCTAATTTTATCTATTTGATAATAGTAGTATCAGAATCATTCCAAGAAAATTCAACTTCTTTTTTTTCTTTAGTTTTTCTTGAAGAATTTTCTCCTTTTTATAGAGATTTTTTAAAAATTGTCTTTTATAATTGAGAATACCTAAAAACTGTTGTAATTATTTTTTATTTTCCAGTTGTTCTGTAAATTTTTTAATTTTGACTAAATATGATATTGGAGTTCAAGACCACTTGAAGACAGTTTTAATCCTAAAAACTCAATTTGAGTTTTTTTTAAGTCAATTTTTTTTGGATTGAGTATAATACCATGTTGAATGAATTCTTGAGAAATAATGTTTAAATGTTTTCTATGGTCATCTAGATTGGAAGAAAAGTTTAAAATATCATCAATATAAACGCAACAATAATTTTTGTGTTTTTCAAAAATTTCATTTATCCATTTTTGAAAATTTTGAGGAGCATTGCAAAGTCTAAATGACATCACAGTCCACTAATAGTGTCCTGCAGGTGCACTAAAAGCTATTAAAAATTTTGATTCTTCGTATAGTTTTATTTGCTAGAATCCGGATTAGCAATAGAATTTTAAAAAGTGTTTAGCATATTGAAAAAATTAGTACAATCATTTGAAAAGGATTTAGTTACCTGTTACTCTTGTTCAGCATATAGACCATGGACGCCCCCCCCCCCCCCCCCAGCTTAAAAAAAGTAGAGCTCTTTCCATTTCTTTTTTGCCCTTTTAATTTGGAAGCTAATTCTTTCTTCTTTTTTTTTGGTTCATTTATACTTTTAAGTTTTCACCAGCTAATTGTCACAGTCTATATCAACTTATAAAGTACTATCATATCAATTTATAAAATATTATTATAAGTTGATTGTTACTGTTTACACTAATTTATAAAGTATTATCCATCTCGTTAGACCTTAGATTTTGTCAGCAAATCTGACAGATCACAAGTATGGAGCTAACCAGTTATGGGGTAGTGGAGCAGCCATGACTTCGCGCATGGCAGTGGATACGCGGGTAAAAGAGAAGAATTACTACAGCTATGCCAGCAATTCTTGTGCACCAAATCGTAGGTGTGGAGTTTACACGCCAGTGGTTTGGAAGAACTCTTCGGACCTGGGGTGCGCACAAGCTGCATGCAAGGACCAAATTAGTTTAACTATTTGCTTCTATAATCCTCCTGGAAATTTTGTAGGAGAGAGGCCATACTAGAAAGCTGAGAGGGTCGGTTGATTTAGTCTCTAGTACTGGATGTAAGCAGGGAAGGTGGGAAACACTAATAATTTGGATCCTAAGTAACTCCAATAATTGTTGTTGTGAAAAGGTTTACATTTTTCCTTCTGTTTGTTTTAGCAGCATAATTTAATTGTTCAAGTATAACATGGAAGAATTATTGGTTAGTGAAATTGACAACTTTTATGAAGCATTCTAGTCAACATTTTGACAGGATTCCTGTCAGAATATATGGTTTCTCTGATCACAATAAGTTTAACTTGTAAATGTATGGCATAAACATGTTTATGGCAAATGTACTATATTTCGTTTTGATACCGGCAAATAAGCATGGAAATGAGCAAGTATTTGGGGTAAATCAAGGGAGAGATCACACCAAAACTATATACAAACCTCAATGCACATTACAGAAATCATTTATTCTCTCCCTATTGTATGACACATCATAATGACAATACATTACAAAAGATGCAGCATCGTAATATCCTACCATTTCCCTTTTCCTTTCTACTTTATACAAGGAAAATTGTGAAATCTTCCAAATGAAAATGCTTGAAAAATGCATCATGCCCAAGCACCATGCATTGATGCATACTGGCAATCATCTTACTAATTCTTTAGATATTAGATACCTAAGGGTAAAATTGTGAGGAATCCATTCAATGATCTTGCGGGATTTTCCTAGCTGACATTTTCTAACACTCCTACGAAGTGATTCAGGCAATGATTGTTGGATCATTTTGATGACACTAGCTGGACACAAACTAGAATCCTTTGCAAATGACTCTACAATCTTTGGTAACAGAATTTTCTTGTCTTTGCGGACGCCAAATGTAGCCCGGATGTACTCTTCTTTTGCAGTTTCCAGCTCTTGATATACCCTTTTTGGCGTGTAGGCACGAACCTAAAGAAAAGAACAAATATAATAAGAAGGCTGATAATTTCCATATGCAAAAGAAAACACCACGGAAACTTTATCAAGGCAAACTCGGAAATTAGCATCTTTCAACTGGTTCTTAGACATCCTATCATTGGTGAAAACAGTAAGGAAAAAACACAGATCAAAGATGATATAGTACCGCAGGATCAGAATGGTTTCCTGAACAGAGTGCAAAGTGTAAAAGAGGTTCTGGATGTTCAATTGCATATGCCTGTCTTTCATTTCCAGTTTTAAATTTAGCCCTTGAAATAAATAACCGAAGCCACTACAAGCAGGAGAAAGATTTATCAGCACCACCGCAAAATATGACCTAAATCAAGCTCACTGGGAATATTAAAAGTAAAACTAAATGCTTTGTCGCGTCTCAGGTGAAATAATTGACAAATTCCCTCTGCCTTTCTTTTTCTTTGACAAAGAGACGGCCGAGCAGAAATATTGTTCATGGATGTCTCTACAAGATCTTCAACAATCTTAAGTAAATAAAGAATAAAAATCAAGGACAGGAAAGATGAGGCTTGAGATCTACCTGTCCGGGACGAGGCATACGACATCCAAGGATGGAACTCTGTATTGTATCTGCACTGATGGTGTGACCTCCAATGCTATATGCAGCCTAAATAGTACATGAGTATAAGATAACAAATATCAATGTAGTTTCATGGATTAAGAGGCAACAATGAGATAGGTTATTCTTACCCTCAACAGTAGAAAGAGTCTCTTCACATTATTTTGTGGAATACCATGAGCCAAAAATGCCTATTATGGAAGAACAGAAAGACTGAATACAGTCTGTCGCCTTAAAATTGGAGCCAACACTATAACAGATGATTCTTTTTATCGATGAGAACACTTACATGCATCACTAATGAATTGTGTATGTTTATCCAGAATGCCAGCTTCTCTTCATGTTTCAACTTCCGAGGATCCACTTCTTCAAGTTGACAGATAAGTAACCTATAGCAGAATTTGACAAACACATGAAAAGCTGCTAGAGGAGCGCAGATCTAATGTTGCTTAGATGATCCTCACATCATCAGAAACAGGTTCTTTTGACAATTGCATGTCAGAAAGACTCACCTGAAATTCTGTAGCAAGTGTTCCACATCACCCAGTTTCTGACTATCTCTGAAAATCCATGACACCTCAACCATTGTGCTATATGGTCCACTAAACTCTTTAAGACCTTCCACATGGAAAGGGTTATCTAACCGTACATCAAAAGATGAATTATTTCTAAACCCCGGACTCCAAATGTCATGCTGATCCTGTGGAGAAAAAGCACTGGCTGGTGACATGGATGAATTGGGAGAAGAAAAGCCATTTTGGATCAAAGGTGGATCTGCAAGCTTGCAATATATACTAGACATGCACTTGACCATATCCTCAGAAAGCTTGTTTGGTGTCTCTGGAACATGATCAGAAATGCGAGTGCCAAGAAGCTCAGCCAGACTGATTATATTCAATGCATTCTGAGAATGCTGTAGATAACCAAGCAAAAGTTACATTCCACAACCTCAAATTGCCATACGTATCATAGGAAGAGATCATTCTCCCATAAATTTAATTTGTTCACTTGTGGATACAATCGAAATGGGATGATGGTGATAGAACTACATCACCCTCAAGCATGGAGACCTTTGTGATCATTTATCCCAAAAACCAACTGAAGGTAAACTACCTAAGCCATTGCTCATCAGTTTTCCAGAAAAAACTGAATGACGTAACGCTTTACTATGATGTAAAATGACCAGTAATTAACCAAAAATGTAAAATACAAAGATATACAAATTTTATGAGAAGATTATATGCTAAAGTTAAGTTACCTCCATCGACAAATCTTGTGAATGACAGGCACGTACAGCTTTAGCCAAAGTATCATCTGGAGGAGAAGTCCTGCTTGAAAACACTGAACACTGTGATAGTGAGGAATGACAGCGATGAACACCAGAATCTAATAGTTTTTCTTCTCCAATGCCACTATGCTCCTTGTATGAATTGTCACAATAACGAGACTGGGCAGCTGAATTTTCAACTTTGGATGCATCATCAGGTCTTGTAACTTCTGAAAATCTCTCTCTTGGGGCATCTACTGTTGATTTTAACCTTTCATCCCTTTTAGGTGGTGATATAGAAGACACTTGTTGATCAAAGGCTTTCCTATACAAAGAGAGAAGGTGCTGTTCCAAATATACGACTTCCAACTCTAACACAGCAATTTCCTTGATCAACTCTGTAGCTTGCTGCAGAAAAGCAGTGTCAACCGTCAAGAGGCTGACATCAAGAATGTAAAATGAAAAGGCTAAAAGTAGAGTCAAGCAACTAAATTCTAAGGTAAGCATTGGCATAAATGAGAATTCAATTGTCTACTAAGCCTAGAAGCAGCAGCGCAGGAACTGATGTCATTAAAAAACCAAGAAGAAGAAGAGAAACAATAAACTCCTATTTCCCAGAGAAATAAGAATTTAGAGGAGCTACCTTAGTTATGGACACTGATGTTTCATTTGTATCATAATGGTAGGAAGTTCTATAACCCAATGCTGTTTCTAAGGCACGACGAACCTCAAATTGATCTTGTAATATTTTCTCAAGCTGTAAAATCTGCACAAAAGATTTTTTGAAAGAAAACAAAAAATCATAAGAGCAATAGAACTTTGTAACTTGTGAGCTGTAGCCTAATATTGGGTCATAAAAGACCTAACCGGGCCACTCTCAAATTAAATTCAAGCCCTGAGATATCCAAAGATGACAACAATGATAAAACAGGTTCAGTTCCATACCTCTTGCTTCAAAGAGTTTTGGACTTCAGTGCTGAGAGTGGGAGATTGCTTCTCCTGGGTTTTGACAGAGTCCTTCAAGTGCCTCATATCCTGGTACAGATAATACAAGTCAGACCCTAGGCCAATGGAAAAATATTCTTCCGGAGCAGATTAAAATTTAGGATGAGTATTATGTCATTAATCTCAAATAATTAGTCTAGCAAGAGACACTAAACACAGCTAAACAATGCCTTATATCCCAGTTTTTCAGGCATAAATTACATACAATCATTTTTATTCAGCTCTATCTAGATTTAGGGCTGAAAGACTGATTTGTATCAAATAATTTCAAAATATGATTCACACCTTGAACCATGTCTTACAAACCATCATATGTAGCAATGACGAGGTAAAGGAAGAAATAAAAAGAAAAGAAGTGATAAAGGGAAGTGAAAAAGAGATCCTAGTAATAAGCTATATACTTTACATTGGATGCAGGAGAAAAATGTCATTAGTAAAAGACACAATAAGATAATCAAATCATTATACTTTAAGCTCTCCAAACAACTATAGAAAAATAATAGCTTACAAAGTACTTTATGAGTTACAGGAAAAAAGGAATGAATTACCAGCTTTATACGAGTTGCTGCTTCAAGGGGACTACCCAAGCCATCCCTCTCAACTCTTTTCTTATCAGGAAAGCTGCTATGTGACGAAATCAAGCGCCAAGAATCAATAGATAAAATTTGCAAAAGGAAGGATTTGAAGAATGTCATTGCAATTCGTAGCCGTCTCATGACAATTTTGCAAAACTAAAGCAATAAGATAACTTTTCTCGCATATTTGTATAAGCAAGAAGACCAAGGTTGTCATACCTCAACCTGTACCAGTGGTCCACTTAGCTATCATTTACTGCATATCTCAAAAACGTTTTCATTTGCCTTAAAGTAACTCACTTATGACTTATTAAATGCAAAAGTTATCATCAAAACGAAATTTGAAAGATTGAAAAAATGAAAAAAAAAAAGAAAAAAAGGATGGTCAACAAATCTTAGGCAAAGAAAAGAAACATTTGATGGCAGAAGCCAAATTTCAAGCAGTTCCATGATTTAAAAAACTCCCCCTTGTTACTCCATCAGGACCACAAAAAACATTTAATGTCCGACCAAACAAACTAATAAAGGAGAATATGCAAATGCCTCTTCAGGTTTTCTACTTCTTTAAATGCTCAAAGTTCCGAGTTTTCTTGAGAAAACCCATCTCAGAACTCCTTCCAGTTAGAGAAAATCTTAACATCAAAGTAAAACAAAGGTGACTGCAAACTAAAAAAAGATTTTGAACAGTCACCTCTTTGAACGCTTGTGTCTTGATGATGTCACTATCAATCCCAACATTTTACTTTCTCCACTGCCTTGAAATCCCATCACTGAGAAAACATTATCACAGACAAATTGTTTATAACTGAACAGAAAAGCCAAAAATAAAACATTAGTTTGAAACAAGGACAGCAGAAAATGGAACAAAGTAGAGGCCTCTACCGATTATGCTCTAAGAGAAAAAACAAGGGAACACCAGAAGGGGTCTGAGGAGTATGAACCAGGTAAACAATTGTGAAAAGAGAGCGGCCAAGTGGGTTCGCAGAGACCCGTGATTACACTCCAAGACTTAACATGTCTTCTCGCATTTTTAAGAGTACTGGGACTTCCAGGAACTACCTACAAAGCAAAAAGTGATCATTTTGCTGCCTAAAACAGCATGAAACTTAGCAGAGGACTGAAAATGCTTTCGACTAAAAACCAACAAACACGGCTAAAAAACATATAGACATTTTGGCCTTTGACCAGTGTTTCTCATTTCTAAGGTACTCACTTCACTCACTCTATAAATCAGATGGCTTTTGCAGTGAGGAGAGCCTGTTTCTTTTTTTTTCCTTAAAGGGTGTAAAACCAGCTCGTGGGCTTTTAAGGGAAGAAGAAAGTTGGCATAAGCACGCAAGCTTTGTTTTTGACACTCTATAGTCTATACACCCACTTGATGTCAATTGGTCAAATGTCCAAAAGTGGACAGTTTTCTTCACTCAACCAGATGTCTAAAGTAGGCAAATGATAGGAAGATAAATACTGGCTATGACTGTTTAGAGTTTATAAAAAGAAATTTAGTCTACAGAAGCATTTATTTGTTGATACCTCAATTTTCACAATTTTTCCATTGTCAGAAAGCAAGTGGGAGTTGGTGACCTACCCTGCTGCCCTGTCTCATACTGCTACTATCCATTGTAATTTGCATCACACTATCCATTCAGTTTCATAAATGTAACTTAGGAATAATTTTAGAGAGATGGGTAGTTATCAGAATCTTTCTAATTGCCCAAAAATTACATTAATTTGGCAAAATTTTAATGAGCAAATCTCTATTACATGTCTGGAATAGAGCACTAAAAAGTCAACCAGCTAAGTGGATGTATAACTTGATCCTCTCCTTTATCAAGTTATCTCAATTTACCTTTTTATTTATGCATTGTTATTGTTTATTACAGTGAGATATGGTTTGTCTTTGGAAAACAAATACATTTGCTGGTCATTTCATTTTTAGGCTTACTATAGTAATAAGCCAAAACTGCAGACCAGCTATAGAAATCTTGCCACCAGAATTTCTTGTCCTAGCTAACAACTATCTTTTCTCAACAAAATCTGAAAAGAGCAAAAGGTCACTTTAGCCATGAAGTTAGCTCCGCACTTTGCTTGAATTCGGTGCATCACCATTCACCAACTGGTTTGACACAAATTTGAATATAGCAGCCTATCGCATGTATATATATGACAATCTCACAATTGGCAAATCAAGCAACTTCTTTCAATCAACAAAATCATCATTGCCGTGTTAAAATGGTTGCTTAACATAGGTGAAATGATGGTTAGTTTGATTAGTTGTTAAAATGTTTCAACTAAAAGATTACAGATTGCTTTAATCCACTTGGAAAAGTTGTATTTGAGTTAGTTTTTCAACTAATCTACAAACAATACTCTAGCAAATAATTTATGCTATCAGGCAAACTGCCATTTGATTATATCATCAAACATGTATCCCATAATTTTACATCCATTTATTAATTAGAAGAAACAGTCTCAAGCAAGTCCTTCCAAATATAAAGGATTAAGAACACTGATCAAGAACTTGTTTTATATATGTCCAAATGTAAATTGCTGACAATAGTAAGGTTAAAAACAAAAGCAGGCTCTCACCTCAAAAGGATGAAAGGTGAAGTTTAAAAGATACATTGGATACTTAAAAATGAGGTTTTGTGGGGTTTCACTTTGTCTACATTTCTTTTGAAGAAAATAGGGGCATACAAAAGAGGGGCATAGCCAGATACCCAGATTGTCCTTCAGTATCAAAGACACTAACTTTTGTCATAGAATCCATAAAATTATAAAAACCTTTTTCAAGATCAATACAAAAGTAAAAAAGTGGGGTTGTATGTAATGTAAGGTGGTCAAGTCTCTCTTGGAAGGAGAGAGAGTGAGAGTTTTCCTATTGAAAAACTTTCTTATTAATAATTGTTTAATTGACACCTTTTTCTATTGAATTGCAGAAAAATCCAAAAGCCTAGTCTATAAACAAAAGAGTATAATAAGCAAGGTAGCTTGAAGAAAAAGAATGTTTTAGTATGATTAAACTTCAGGGTTAAGGATTGCTCATAGATTAATTGAAAATTTTGGCTATTTCTGTTATATCAATTGGTTGCTGCTAATTTCTACAATGACAGATGAATGTGAGAGAATACACTTTGAGAAGCATTAATGATTATGAAATCATGAAAGCAATGCTATTTAACATCATCATTTACCTGTGCTATGTTAAATGCAGATATCCACTTAAATTTTAAAATTTTTATAATTTTATATTCAAATTGATCTCTTTATTTATTTTTTCAATTGATTTTAGATTGAATATTTAATCCAAATTTTATTATATAATTATTATCTTAATATCTATTTTAAATTTGTTATGTGATAAGTCAATACTTTGTGTTTAATTTACAAATCATGAGTCTATTACGCATCTATTAAATCTTAGATTTTTATATTCAAAATTAAGATTTTATATCTATTATCAATTGATTTTAAACTGTACGCTTAAAATTCTTATATTAGCTTTGCCAAGTGATTCTTCCATTGGGGTCGATGAGAGAGAGCCAGGATTTGGAGCTATCTGTATCTCTGATATTTTAAGCTCCATCAGCGACGGGCTGCAAATTTAGCAGTCCCAATAAATAAACAAATGAAACTTCTTCTGTTTTATCTTATTATCGAGATTTTTGTACAAGTCAGATGGGTTGCTTCTCAATGACAAAAATATAACAGTACCAAAAAAAACAAGCAAATTATATTTGGTTTTAGAGCAAGTGAAGAGAATCAAATTTTCAAATGAAACTGACAGACATACTGCATTGATAAATGAAATTATCGAGTTGTACTAATAACATTCTTTAATTGTGGATTACAAAAAATAACATCCCCTAATCTAACAGGCTCATAGTTCCATGCATGAATCATGATGCAATCCGGAGATTTCTCTACAAAAGTTGTCAGTTTATAAGCACAAGATTAGGCTAGATACCCAAGTGTCTTCAGGGTTTTTGAATCAGGTTTTATTCAAGATGCAGGATAGTTAATCTGGAGGGGGAGTTGAAACTTGAAAATCAATTATCAGAAGTTGGTGAGTAACATCATGCACTTACAGCAAATTTGCACTAGTCAAGGAATATTTTACTATAATATTAAACTGAAGTGATCAAAGAAGACAAATTAGAAATGAAAACAAAATGTGTTTGAATTTGAAAGGAAACCTGGAAAATTCAGGAAACAGTTTTTAAGGACTGCTACTCAGGTGCTTGTTTTTGTTTCTTTTGGAAACAAAATTATAACTCAATCTGTCAATCTGTCCTGGTATAAATTGTTGTTCAGATATAGCTAATCATAAAAATCTATAACCATCTCTTAGACAGTTACAGCAGTCATTAGCACTGGCAAATGGCATGCATGGAGGCAGAAATTTTCAAAATACATTTGTAGTTAGCATTATTCTGCATACAAAACCGGCTTTGCCATTTGCTTGGACATAAGAAGAAAAGGACAATTCAGATAAACAATAATAATCTGCAAAATTTGATTCAAAATTCAAAAGGCATGCTTATACATCTGAGACTCCCACTGCATCTGTCAAAAACCTCAAAGAGTGGGGGACTAAAAAGTGCCTTGAGTTGGCCAAACAAAACCACAAAAGCCATAGAAAATGTCCATTAATATTGGTTAAAGAAGAGAGACACAGATAGAGAAAGGGGGAGTAATTTGGCAGTGTATGTATAGTGGGGAGGGAAAATGGAAAGGGCTAAAGCCCTTATGGCCATATTGGGGTGGGGGAGGGAGTGTTACAAGGTTGTGGCAGTTGTGGTTAGGGAAATGGGGAAGGTGTAGAATCCCACAATTATGACAGCAAAAAAGAACTTTCCAAAGACAATTGGACAAGGAAGTCAATGCCAATCAGGCAATGATAACCAGAAACAGGCATCTCTCTCTCTCACACACATATGGGATGGTCCAAAATCCAAAAGAAAAATTGATGCAATATTAATCATGACTTGATCAATATCATTCAATTGCAATATGTCATTGTTCTGTTTTTCTTTGCTGATAAATCATCCATTAAATCATTATCAAGGTCCTATAATTTATCTGTGTTGTCATGTTCCTAATCCCCACAATGGGGTACAATGCAGTATAAATCAAGAACATTCAGGCAATGAAATCCCATTCATATCTAAGATTTGTTGGTTTCCTTTCTTCAATTTCCTTGGTACATCCAATCAATGAGCTTCAAAATTTGAAAAAATACAAAGCAACAGTACCTACCAAGGTCCACAACAAGGCGCCCTTTTTAGCCTATGTAGTACTTGTCATGTGCTGAAGCATGTCTCATGGACTAAGATCAATCTATGATCATTTTCTTTTTCTCTTTTATACTACTTTTTATGTGCTAGTAAATGCTTAACAAGTTAAGATTTAAGAACCATTGCCCTTTGTAAAGAAGCCTAGTAAAACCTGTTTTAAGCCCAAATAATGTAACTTGTCTCATTGATCTATTTTAAACATTTCTTGCTTCACTAATTTTGATAAAATGGTAAAACAAGCAGAATAAAATCTAATTATGTGACTTTCAACTCTTTTGAAGCAGATTATCTTTCTCTTTAGATTTAAGCTTTCTCAAAGGAAGATAATAGAATAAAGGGATCCAAAAGCAATTGAAAAATGGTATACATGAAACAATCGGATGTTTCTCGAGTGGTAAAAGAGTTTGCTTTTATCTTAATTGTTTCAAGTTCTAATTTGCTAAGAAGCTTTAACAAGGTAATTTTTCATGAGTTTATTAAATCAAAATATATATAAATCAGTTTAGACTGATTTAATCTTATCTTATTCTCGTTGTTTTATTGATTGGGCTGAAGTTTTAAGATCCAAAAGACTCTGCTTAACAGGCCTATGAAGACATAAAAGAGGCATTGGCCTAGTCAGCAAGATGACATCAACTGTCCAAGGCTGAAGACAGCCGGAATGGGTTCGTCTTTTTTTAACCTCTCCAAGTCTTCAAGCAAGCTGAGGCTTGATTTCCTCTCACCTTTGATTCATACACAAATGCTGATTGACCAAAATTAGAGTTTCATATATCAAAAAGAAAGTTTCATAGATTAGAATTAGATTAATTTTCCTGAGTGAATGGTATTGGGCGAAGAAGGATATCCGACGATCAACAACAAAATTGTATGATTACTCTCTTTTTTTCGTGTAAAAAAAAATTTATAGGAAAAGAAATCTGTAATGAAAATGTAAAGGTTGAAATTAAAGCGAATAACAGCATAACCACTGTAACCATGGAGGCAGGTGGGTCTTATCCGATCTGTGAAAGGGCCAAGCCGCAGGGGCAAAGGAGCCCCCTGTTTTGTGTAGGCTTTGCCACCTCGTTTTCGCATCTCGATGGCTACTGCTTACAACTATAAACCTTGGAAATCAAATCTGAAATCTCTGTATCACATTAATTTTCATCTTTACCAATTTCTCACAATCATCCCCAGCCACCCCAAAGCCCCAAAATTTTCATATCTTCCCCCCAAAAAAGACCTATTTCCTTGATCCTCTCTTGCCTGTATTTGTTAAATTATTATATATATAAAAAAAAGAGAAAAACACCCAAAGCCTTTTTTTTTAGATTTTGACCCTCGACACTAACCCAAGTTAGAAACAGAACACAAACAGGCCAAAACAGACCAAACCCTGTTTGAGTTTGGTCTTCTTATATGTTTAGAAGTCTTTTCAGTTAGAGCAACATCCACGTACACTTTTTTTTTTTTTTCTGTTGCTTTGTTGTGTTTCTTATCTCTTGTCACTACTACTGCTACTGCCATTAATTTCTTTGTCTTGAATTTTCTTTCTCCATTTCGATTTTGGCCACGGGGACATGCCCAATTCCCCATATCACGAGTCACGAACTACATCTATCTATCTATTCCTAGACTCTAACCCCAGCCAACCCAACACCTAAACTCGAAAAAAAAAAAAAAACCCTTTCTCCAATTCCATTTGCCTAACCAAAACAACCAACAACCATGGAAAAAAATTGGGTGATCCTCCTTTAATTCTCTATATATAGAAGGTAAAATACATTAGCCACCCCTTTATCCTTATCTCATCTGTCAATTAAGTTTGGCTTATATACGTTTTCTTATGTTATGCATTTTATGTATGTCACATTTTGCAGTCAATTTCTAATTCTATGGTTCTCTCTGTGACCTAGCTGCTCTTGCTGTGCTCTTTCATGCTGCTATGCCCTAAATATTTGTATAATTACATACCTTACCCCTCCACTCCGCCCAAAAAAACCCATTATCTTAAAAGTAATGAACCATTTCCCTTCTCCTAAGTTTAGTAAAATTTTTGGATATTAATTGTTCTTATGTACTTAGCTGCCTGTTATATGATTTGAGGGTTATATATCTTTCTTATATGATCTGGAATTTGGACCCACCTACCATGTTGTCACCATTTTGATTATCTGGTTTTGGAGTTTTTACATCATGTGGATCTAATGAAAAAAGGGTTTTTGTTTTGGGTTATTGTTATGACAGATGAATGAATGATGAAATTTGTTGATTTTGCTAGGGTTTTGTGACAATTCTCTTCCTGGGTCTTGTTTTTTTGGGGTTTTAGCTAATGATCTCTGGAATTGTGGCTTTTGAGATGGATTTTAAGATCTGGGTCTAGCCATGCTGCAGTTTTTCTTTGGTGAAATAGCTTTGGTTTCGCCAGGAACCATACACTTTGATAAAAATTAAAAAAAAAAAAAACCTAAATGGATTTTTATTATACTAATTAATAATTATTATAAAATAAAGGTGCCGTTAAGTTTCTGGAATTTTTTTCCCTGGTTTGATAAGAATGTTGAGGCAATTGGTTTTATTTTTCAGTTATTCCACGAGGACAGCCTATTTAATTTCTATTGAAAAGATGATTGTCACTTTACTGTATTTATTGCATCAAACTCAAAATGAAATGGTTGATAATAATAGAGAGTGCGGGTTCGTTTGGAAATGGGATGTACAGGAATGATTAAAATTCTGCATGGATTCAAGTAAATTTTGTACTTAATCCAGGATGTTTTAGAAATGAATTTAATGCTGACTAAAGGCCTCTAGCTTTAGCACTTGCTTTCCTAGAAGATTTATGTTCTTTAAAATCATAAATAGAGTGAAATAAGTAACGTAATACAGTGATTGAGATTAAGCCGATCATTTAACGCCTATCTAGATGCTTGCTTATGAAGGACTTTTCCATGGCTGAATGGCATCATGCATTAAGCCCTATGTTTTCAGTCTACAGCAGGATCTGAGTGTTTCCTTTAAATTACATGAAGTACACTCATGCATATTATTAAGCCCTATCTGTGCGTTTTACATGTCATGCTCATTTGTAGCTGGTATCTTTGTTCCATCTTTCTTTTAAGTCTTGCCTATACTGTATCGTATAGTTCTCTATCTTTTTTTTTATTGTTTTTTTCAGGTTTCAGTATATATCCTTGACAATGTTTCTTTTGTCTCATCTTACTCTTGCATGGATGAGCTTTGTTTGGACAGGAAAGTAACTTTGGGGGGATAATCGATGTTCATGTGCACGTTATATTGCTTTAGAGATTTCAGTTTGAATCATGGAAGTGCTCCCCTGTTCTGGTGTTCAGTATGTTGCTGATTCTGATTGTGCTCAACAGAGTTCAGGAACGAGTTTTACTTATGACGTAGAATCTAATTGTTTGGAACATAGAAAAAGTGTTAAAGTGGCAGATGGTAGGATGGATGACTTATTGCTAACTGCGGAAGGGAATCCAGCGGAAAGACAGGATGGAGGTCAAGGCACAAGGGATGAATTGCCAATTTCAGAAGAACACCATAGTGGATCTTCTTGTTATGATTGTCAGACAGAGGGCCAAAGATTATCTTGTGGATCGCATGATTATGAAGATGATGATTCAAATACACAAAATTGTTGCACTGGACATTACTTGGCCTCTGAAAACTCTCATTTAATAGTTGACACCATTGAAAGTGAATCACCAAGCAACAACAGGGAAGGAGAGTTGTCTCTTTCAGAGCCCAAGTGGCTAGAGCGTGATGAATCTGTGGCATTGTGGGTCAAGGTAGCATTTCTTGTTTTAGCTTTAATTTCCATGAAATACCATATCTTTATCCAATGGTTATGGTTTTGACTTGCATTACAGCAACTGTTTATTTTTTGGAATTGGTGTGTTTATGTGACTTAACACATTATCCATTTATCTTCTTAAATTCTCTAGATCATACCATCTGAATATATCTCTATAGAAATCCTGTTTCTAGTATTTTGTTAAAATTGTTTTTTTCTTAATTTAAAAAATTTTACTATCATTTTGTTAATTCTTTTATTTGCTAGATGATAAAATACATGCTGGATTTATTTTTGTGTTGATACTCTTCTGTTTTTCCAAGTATAGTGGAGAGGAAAATGGCAGGCTGGAATCAGATGTGCAAGGGCTGACTGGCCATTATCGACTTTAAAAGCAAAACCAACTCATGATCGGAAGCAGTATTTTGTGATATTTTTCCCTCACACAAGGAATTATTCTTGGGCAGACATGCTACTTGTTCGATCCATTAATGAGTTCCCTCAGCCTATTGCATATAGGAGTCATAAAGTTGGACTAAAAATGGTTAGAGATTTGACTGTTGCAAGGCGGTACATAATGCAAAAGCTATCTGTTGGCATGCTGAATATCATTGATCAGTTTCATTGTGAGGTATTGTTTTCTTCTTATTCGTCTTTTTAATCTTTATATATTTAATATATTTCCTCAATTCCTCGCCTCTCTTCTTACAAGAGTTCTAACCCTGCTTATGTAGGCTTTGATAGAGACAGCACGTAATGTGATTGTCTGGAAGGAATTTGCTATGGAGGCTTCACGCTGCATTGGTTATTCTGATCTTGGAAAGATGCTTTTGAAACTTCAAAATGTAAATCCTTCACTTACTTTACATACTTCATAAGATGTCCGAAAAGCTAGCTGCATTAGATGATGAATGCACCAAATAATAGCATGTGATGTGGATGATTTGACATATGTAGAACCTTGTGGATAAATGAAAATAAGGTGGAAGGCATTAGGAACATGAAGAAGCATAGATTAATTCAAGGGCTTCCCTACTGCGTCCGCGCTCTTAACCTGAAGTTGATTTAATTTAATACATTAAATTACTCTTTTATTAGAAACTCATAAAAATCGCTGTTTTTTAGCGTTACACCTTTTTCTTGAGACTTTTAGTCGTTATCATATGAGAATACATCCTAAGGGATCTGAATGGTCACAAATCCTTAGTTGTTGAGTTCATCTTTGTTAAAGTGAGTTGAATGAATGCTGTGATATCATAACGACACTGCTATCTCCGCCATAGCCTTTTATCTAATCTATCTCTATCTCCTCCATCTTATGCATTAAAAAATGTAAGTGATAGCATTTCTCTTCTCTGCAGATGATATTGCTGCGATACATAAGAACTGTGTGGCTTCAAGAGTCTTTTGACTCATGGGTACAACAATGTCAGAATGCACATAGTGCTGAATCTATTGAATTGCTAAAGGAGGTATGTCTGACTCCATGGTTGCCCCATTTATGTTAATATCAGTGCATATTTGAATAGGATGTGATTCGAAATTATGAATAACAAATGGCTTGCCCAAGTTTGTCAAAATTTTGTCACCTAAAATTCACTGCCACCCTCCCTCCCTTCCCCCCTCCCCCCTCTCCAAAAAAAAAAAAAAAGATATCGTCTTCCATTGACCTTTGGGCTTGAAAGTAAAGTTTTTACAGCTAACCCTGACATTCCATCAAGGCAAACAAGGGCCCATGGATCAGTTGCACAACTTTCCTTTCTAGTGGGGCAGGGACTGTTCTGCCAATTGCATGGTAAATTTGATATAAAAGTAACATTTTTTCTTTGTCTTTGATTCAGGAATTGTTTGATTCTATACTATGGAATGATGTTAGGTCTCTTGGGGATGCACCAGTGCAGCCCACACTTGGTTCTGAGTGGAAAACATGGAAGCATGAAGTTATGAAATGGTTCTCAACGTCTCATCCTGTATCTACTGCTGGAGATATGGATCATCGGAACAGCGATGGTCCCTCAAACACAAATATTCAAGTTAGCAGAAAGAGGCCCAAGCTTGAAGTGCGTCGTGCAGAGACACATGCCTCCCAAGTGCAAAGCAATGGTTCGGACCAAACATTGACTGTTGAAATTGACTCTGATTTTTTTAGTAGCCGAGATGTTGTAGATGTCAATATGCCAACACCAGAACTTTGTAAAAAGGAAGATGAGAGGGAGGAAATCACACCGATGGACACATCAAATAATTTGACTGACAGATGGGATAATATTGTGGTTGAAGCAAGGCATTCTGAGCTCATCAACACCAAAGATGTTGAAATTACATCACCAAGGGAAGAGGTCAAGAGCACTTCAACTCTGCATGTGCAGCCAAAAGAAGTGGAATTGACGCCTGTGAATGAAGCAGTTGCTAAGATACTCATAGATACTGGGAGTAAAAACCGGCAGTGCATTGCATTTATAGAGTCGAAGGGAAGGCAGTGTGTGAGGTGGGCCAACGATGGCGATGTTTATTGTTGTGTGCACTTGGCCTCTCGTTTTATTGGTAGCTCTGGCAAAACAGAAGTGACTCCTCCTGTTGATACACCAATGTGTGAAGGTACCACTGTGCTTGGCACTAGATGCAAGCATCGGTCGCTGTATGGCTCCTCATTCTGCAAGAAGCACAGACCCAAAGATGATGCAAATAATTTCTCACATTCTCCAGAGCACACACAAAAAAGGAAGCATGGGGAGATTATTCCAAGTTCAGAAACCACATACTGCAGAGATATAGTTTTGGTGGGAGACAGTGAAAGTCCCCTGCAAGTGGAGCCAGTGTCAATAATTGAGGGTGATGTTTTCCAGGGAAGAAACAGCCTAGTTGAGAAGACTGAACATTCCAGTAAGGATCATGACAGCACAAAATTACTGCATTGCATAGGCTTATACTCCCATAATGGTTTTGATCCTTGTCCTGAAAGTCCTAAGCGGCATTCATTATACTGTGATAAACACCTTCCAAGCTGGCTCAAGCGTGCAAGGAATGGTAAGAGTAGGATAGTATCCAAAGAAGTGTTTATAAACCTTTTGACGGACTGCTATTCACATGAGCAAAAATTGCATTTACATCAAGCATGTGAACTTTTCTACAAGCTCTTTAAAAGTATTTTATCTCTAAGAAACCCAGTTCCTATGGAAGTCCAACTTCAGTGGGCCCTTTCTGAAGCATCTAAAGATTTTAGAGTTGGGGAAATTTTAATGAAGTTGGTTTACAATGAAAAGGAGAGACTCCAAAGGTTATGGGGTTTCACTGGCAACGAAGCTCCACCCTTGTCCTCTTTTGTGGAAGAGCCAGTTCCCTTGCCTTTGGCCATAAACGATAGCTTTGAGGATGACAAGAGCATTAAGTGCAAAATTTGCTCAGTGGAATTTCTTGATGACCAGCAGCTCGGCACGCACTGGATGGAGAATCATAAAAAGGAAGCACAATGGTTGTTTAGAGGTTATGCTTGTGCAATCTGCCTGGATTCATTTACAAACAGGAAAGTTTTGGAATCCCATGTTCAGGAGAGACACCATGTGCAATTTGTTGAACAGTGCATGCTTCTCCGATGCATTCCCTGTGGCAGCCATTTTGGCAATACTGAGGAATTATGGTTGCATGTGCTGTCAGCACATCTTGTTGATTTTAGACTGTCAAAGGTTGCTCAACAGCATAATCTTTCTGCGGGTGAGGAATCTCCACTGAAACTTGATCTTGGCAATTCAACTTCTTTGGAGAATAATTTAGAGAATGTAGGCAGTTTTCAAAAGTTTATTTGCAGGTTTTGCGGCTTGAAATTTGATTTGCTGCCTGATCTTGGCCGCCACCACCAGGCTGCTCACATGGGACCAAGTTTAGCTACCTCTCATTCCCCAAAGAGAGGGGTTCGTTATTATGCTTATAAACTAAAATCTGGGAGACTTAGCCACCCTAGATTTAAGAAAGGTCTGGGGGCAGTGTCATATAGGATCAGGAACAGGGCAACTGCAACTATGAAAAAACGCCTCCAGGCATCAAAGTTGATTGACACTAATATCATTAGTGTACAGCCTCGTGTAACAGAGACAGCAAATCTTTGTAGATTAGCAGAACTTCAGTGCTCAGCCCTTGCAAAAATATTATTTTCCAAAATTCATAAAACAAAACCACGACCTAATAACTTAGACATTTTGTCTATTGCTCGCTCTTCTTGTTGCAAAGTGAGCCTCAAAACCTCATTGGAGGAGAAGTATGGAATATTACCAGAACGCATCTACCTTAAGGCAGCCAAGCTTTGCAGTGAGCATAACATTCAAGTCGATTGGCACCAAGAGGAATTTGTATGTGTAAATGGATGTAAGCCTTACAAGGACCCAGATTTCCTGTCCCCATTAACACCTCTTCCTAATGGTTTTGGGGGCCACCCATCAGCAGATCCATTGGATCATGTAGATGAGGAATGGGAACTGGATGAGTGTCATATTATCATTGATTCACAGCATCTTAAACAATGGCCCATGCAGAAGGCCAATCTCTTGTGCAATGATATAAGCTTTGGGAAGGAATCAGTTCCAGTAGCTTGTGTAGTGGATGAAGGGTTATCTGATTTCCTTTACATCTCAGGTGATAGTTCCAATGACCAAAATGCTAGATCCTCCATGCCTTGGGAGAACTTTACTTATGTTACAAAATCTTTGCTTCATCAATCTCTTGATCTTGATTCTGAGGTATCTTTTTATTTGTATTATGTCCTTTTCTCTATTGCTACTTCATATAGATTCCTTACAATTATGCCTGAATGTAAGTTACTTTGACTGCATGTTACAATGACTTTACCACCAGAAGTTCTTCTTAAGATACCTGATAATACCCTTACCTGGATATTTCTGGGTTTTGTTTGATAATACCATCAAATTCAATTTCTTAAGACAAGTACAGGCATTATCCTTGTTTTGGAGGGCTTTCATCTCACCCCTCACATGTTGGGGTACAATTGTACATTGCTTGGAAAGGTTTCTTACTTTTTTTGTAATTTTTCTTCTAATTACTTATATATTGTTTCAGTGTTTGCAGCTTGGTTGCACTTGTTCTAATTCGACATGCTGTCCTGAGACATGTGATCATGTATATCTCTTTGATAATGATTATGAAGATGCAAGAGACATATATGGGAAACCCATGCGTGGCAGATTTCCATATGATGATAAAGGGCGAATTATCTTGGAGGTACTTTAATTCTTGTTCTGTCAACCATTATGATTTTCACTCTAAAGCATCGTATCTTGCTACTACTTGCTTATAGCGTTTCTCAAATCACATATAAAAGTGTATGTGCTGTTATTTGGTTGAAGACTCTTGTTAAACATTTAATAAGATACTTTTCTTTTTGTCTTTGTTGTTGCTTGTCGTTCAATGAATTGTCTATAATAGTCTTGTCAAGGAGTGCATTATCAACTTGATTTTTGTAAGCATCTAATATGAATTTCCCCTCTTTTAGAATTATTTATCTTCACCATTCAAAAACATTACATTTTTGACAAGTAGACATAGCTAGTTAGTCCGATTGGCATCCTTACTGCTCTCTTTGATCCTGGTTTATATCTTGTGATTAAACCTTTGTGAAACTGTACAGGAGGGCTACCTTGTCTATGAATGCAATCACATGTGTAGCTGCAATAGAGCATGTCCAAATAGGGTTTTGCAAAATGGAGTACGAGTGAAGTTGGAAGTCTTCAAAACAGAGAATAAGGTAATGATTTTGTGGAAACTGAATGTATATTGAAAAACTGCTTATCTACAATTATACAAGAATCTTAGGTTTATATACAACTAACTAGGGGTTAAACTAGGAAACTAAATCTTAATTCTAGGGATACAAATACTTAATTCTAGAGATACAAATATAAATATACAGATTACAAGATTACAACCAGCTGTAAATAAGTGTTTTCCCACACTCCCCCTCAAGCTGGTGAATAGGTGTTTTCCATTCCCAGCTTGGAAATAATTCCTTGAAATGTTGCACTGCTGAGACCTTTAGTCAACACATCTGCAAGTTGACCCTTGGTTGATACATAAGGTGTACAAATCAACCCACTGTCTAGTTTCTCCTTTATGAAATGCCGGTCTACTTCAATGTGTTTTGTTCTGTCATGTTGTACAGGATTGTGTGCAATGCTTATTGCAGACTTGTTATCACAGTAGAGTCTCATTGGTCCATCCCACTTGATCTTCAAGTCTTCTAAGATAATCTTTAACCATAGTAGTTCACAAATTCCTTGAGCCATTGCTCTGAACTCTGCTTCAGCACTTGATCTTGCCACCACATTCTGTTTTTTACTCCTCCAAGTCACAAGATTACCACCAAAGAAAGTACAGTAGCCTGAGGTGGATCTTCTATCAGTTACTGAACCTGCATAATCAGCATCTGTATATGCTTCTAGAACTAACCCTGAATTTCTTTTGAATAAGATACCTCTCCCAGGATTGGCCTTCAAATAGTGCATTATACGGTAGACAGCCTGTAGGTGCACTTCTTTAGGATTATGCATAAATTGACTTACCACACTCACAGCATATGTTATATCAGGTCTAGTATGTGAGAGATAAATGAGTCTTCCAACTAATCTTTGGTACATTTCTCTATTTACAGCAGTATCTTCATTAGCTTCTCCAATTTTATGATTAGGATCTATAGGGGTATTTGCAGGTTTACATGCAAGCTTCCTAGTTTCCTTCAGAAGATCCATCACATATTTCTGTTGTGAGATAAAAATACCATGCCGTGAGTGAGCTACTTCAATTCCTAGAAAGTACTTCAATCTCCCTAGCTCCTTTATCTCAAATTCTCTAGCCAAACACTGTTTTAAAGATTCTCTCTCTTTTTCATCATCTCCAGTTACAATTATATCATCAACATACACTAATAGAACTGTGACTCTCCCTGAATCAGAGTGTTTGATAAACAATGTGTGATCTCCTTCACTCTGTTTATATCCCATTGCTAGCATCACTTTGGCAAATCTCCCGAACCAAGCTCTAGGAGACTGTTTAAGGTCATATAAAGCCTTTTTTAGCCTGCATACTTTGTTTGCTTCTAGATGACCTCCAAATCCCGGTGGAACCTTCATATATATTTCTTCTTCCAAATCACCATGTAGAAAAGCATTCTTTACATCAAATTGTTGAAGCTGCCAATTGTAATTTGCAGCCAATGATAACAAAATCCTAACTGTATTCATCTTGGCAACTGGAGCAAAGGTTTCCTGGTAATCCACTCCATAGGTTTGAGTGTAGCCCTTAGCCACTAACCTGGCTTTATACCTTTCAACAGTACCATTTGCATTGTATTTTACAGTGAAAACCCATTTACACCCCACTGAATTTTTTTCTTTAGGCAACTCTACCAGTTCCCATGTTTGATTTTTCTCTAAGGCCTCCATTTCTATTTTCATGGCTTGCCTCCATTTCTCATCGGATAATGCCTCGGATAATGTAGTTGAAACAAAAATAGTGTTTAGGCTCACAAGAAAATTTTTGTGGGATGGTGAGAATTTTTCAAATGACACAAAATTAGATATTGGGTATAGTGGATGCTTGGTACATTCTCTGGTTCCTTTCCTAATGGCAATAGGCAAATCATAATCACTAGTTATAGTTTTAGGAGATTCATGCTCATTTTGAGAAACAGAGTAAAAAACTGTAGTTACCTCATTTCCAGAGTTAGGATCAGGTTCTTGACTGGCACTGGTTCAGGATCTGAAACTTTCCTTCTTGAGTACACCTGTAATTCCTTCATAGAATCAAGAACAATATTATCCTTTGTCACATCTTCCGTATTTGGAATGGGTTCAGGCTCAAATTCAGTGTTTGACTTGGGCTCAGCAGAAACAGGTTTCGACTCAGAAGAATTAATGGGTGTAAATGTTGAAGAAAGGGGCAAATCAAGCAAAAAGAAGTCTTTATCCTTATCTTTCATGAATGAAGTCTCCCCCTGAAGATAAGGTTGAGTAAAAAATGGTTTATTTTCTTCAAAAGTGACATCTATAGACACATAGAATTTTTTGGTAGGAGGATGATAGCACTTGTATCCTTTTTGAGTTGAAGAATACCCCACAAAAATACACTTAATTGCTCTTGGATCCAATTTTTCCCTGTTATGACTGTGAACATGAACAAATGATGTACAACCAAATATCCTAGGTGTGAGATTGTTTGTGGTATTGAGGTTGGGATAAAATTGTGAGAGTAGTTCCATAGGAGTTTTAAATCCCAAAACTCTTGAAGGTAACCTATTTATAATGTGTGTGGCAGTGAGAACAGCTTCCTCCCAGTAAGATTTGGGTACATTTGCTTGAAAAAGAAAGGCTCGGGTTGTGGCTAGTAAATGACTGTTTTTCCTCTCTGTCACTCCATTCTGCTGTGGAGTATTAACACAAGATGACTCATGGATAATCTTCTCTTTTTGGAAATAGGTGGATAGACTCTGGTTGAAGTAGTCTCTTGCATTATCAGACCTAAATCTCTTGATTCTCACTCCAAATTGATTTTGGATCATGTTTTGAAAGCTTAAAAACACACTATTCACATCTGATTTGGATTTAAGTAAAAAAACCCAAGAGACCCTAGTACAATCATCTATGAATGAAACAAACCATCTCGTACCAGAAATATTAGGAATTGTAGAGGGACCCCAAATGTCACTATGAATCAAGTAAAAAGGAGTAGAACTTCTTTTGTTACTGATTGAAAAAGTCACACGTCTATGTTTTGCAAATTCACAAATATCACAATGAAAATCTTCAACATCTAATCCTTTGAACAAAGAAGGAAACATGTTTCTCAAGGTTCCAAAAGAAGGATGACCAAGACGAAAATGATAAAGCCAAATTTTGTCTTTATTGGAAGATTTTTCAGAAAGAAATGACAAAGGTAAACTATTTTTGATACTACTTGTGTTATTTGATGTCTCAAGATAGTATAGTCCATCATTCTCCTTAGCAAGTTCAATCATCTTCCCCGAACTCTGGTCCTGAAATTCACAATAAGAGGGATAAAAAGTTACTTTGCAATTCATATCTCTGGTAAGTTTTTGTATAGATATCAGATTAGTAGACAATCTAGGAATATGAAGAACATTTTTGAGAACAAACGAGGGATTAACTTGAACATCTCCTAATCCTGCCACTGTGGTGAGTGAACCATCAGCAACAACAATTTTCTTATTACTAGGACACAGGTTATATGTACTAAACTTTTGTGGGCAATGTGTCATGTGGTCTGTGCCTCCTGAGTCAATGACCCAAGAACTCGTAATAGACTTAGCCGAGACATTTAATCCATGAGAACCGGAAGCTTTACCTGAACTAGAAACTTTACCCAAAGAACATACCATAGTAGGCTTTTCAAGGATTTTCAATAAGTTTCTCAGCTTTTCAATCTCTTCCCTGTTGAACTCTCCTTGTTTCTGAGACATCTGTAGTACTCCAGTGATTTTTCCAGTTAACATTTCCTCAAATTGGATGATAGTGATATCTTTCTTTGAAAAGGTTCGGCAATGAAGGCCTAAACAGGATTCGGCAATGAAAGCCTAAAAAAGTCGGCAATGAAGGCCTAAAAAAGTCAGCAATGAAGGCTGAAAAATTTTTCTTCCCAAGAAGAGCCTAAAGCTCTGATACCATGTGGAAACTGAATGTATATTGAAAAACTGCTTATCTACAATTATACAAGAATCTTAGGTTTATATACAACTAACTAGGGGTTAAACTAGGAAACTAAATCTTCCTTAATTCTAGGGATACAAATACTTAATTCTAGATATACAAATATAAATATACAGATTACAATATTACAACCAGCTGTAAATAAGTGTTTTCCCACAGATTTCAACTTTTGGTTGTATTCTATAGTTTTGTCCTTTGACATTGCTTCATGTTGATCTTCAGGGCTGGGGAGTTAGGGCTGGTGAACCAATTCTGAGTGGCACATTTGTGTGTGAGTACGTTGGTGAGATCTTAGATGAGCAGGAGGCTAACAATAGGCTTACCAGGTTTCACTTTCTTGATTTTTTTACTTCTGTTTTCACATTATGCTTGCTTTTATGCTTTATTTTGAATAGGCTATATGATTGGATTTCAGGTACGATAGGGATGGTTTCAATTTCATGTATAATGTTGATTCTCATATCAATGATATGAGCAGACTGATTGAAGGGCAGGTCCGATATGTTATTGATGCAACCAAATATGGAAATGTTTCTCGGTTCATCAATCATAGGTGAGGATATACTTGATATGCTCACATACTGAAATGCTTTCCCATACTCTTGATTCTGGTATTTCTAAATTGTAACTTGGCCATGATAATTGTGTGCATTAGGATTCATAGGCTTTAAATATATTGACCACTTTTTTTTTTCATTACAAGTAAGAGGGCCTTTAGCATTTAACTAGTGTGGCAAAGTGATGAAGTTCAACTTTGCTGATCTACCTTTGAAATCTTGAATTTCTATTGATTCACTTCTGAGAACTTCTTCATCTTCTTTCCTTTTAATTCTGCCCAGTTGCTCGCCAAATCTTATGAATCATCAAGTTCTTGTGGACAGCATGGATTGTCAGCGCTCTCACATTGGTCTCTATGCCAGTCAAGATGTAAGTACTTCTCAACTATGTGGTGTAAAAATCTGTTGTATCTGTGAAATCTAGAATGATCTAAGGTTCAAAATGTTTTGTGGAAGATGTTGTGGGTTAGATGATATGACTGAGTTTAATTGGGTGATTTGTCAAAAACAAAGAAAAAAGAATTTAATCGGATGAAAGAAAGATTTCAAATAGGCATCTCCTGACTTTTTCCGTGCAAATCTAAGTAGGATTCATTATCTTTTTTTTTTTTATGGATAATTAGTAATTATGTAAGACTCTTGTTATCGAAAAAAGAAAGAAAAACTCTTATTTGCTTTTAAAATATATGTATCAAAGAATTTTATTGTTCTAGTATTTTACATGTATTGAATCCTGCCATCCTTTCATTTAACAATTTTGCAGATCGCTATGGGTGAAGAACTGACTTTTGACTATCGATATGAACTGCTGCCTGGACAAGGATATACATGTCAATGTGGAGCTTCTGCGTGTCGGGGCCGCCTTTACTAAACCCTCAGTAAGCACTATGGGATCCTATGGCATCTAAGGTTTGCTTTTTGAGTTCACAAATGAGGATACAGAGCTCTAAACATAGGAGCTCTACCTCCATCAAGCAAGTCACAATACTAAATCTGGCAGTCTCATTGCGAACACTTCTACCTTTTTAGCAGGTGGTTCTTGCACTAAAGCAAGCATAAACTGCCAAATCTCTATCAGCGGCAATGAAGTTCAGCAGGCTCCAGACAACATGCAACTTCCGATACGGAATTTTCGACCAAGACAGATTGTACCTACGCTATTTCTTCTTTCTAAACGGGCTTCAAGGAAATGGGATGAAAGCTTGCAGTGTAATTGGTGGATCTCTTTCTTAAATTCTCCCCTCATCTCCCCCCACTCTTTTGTCTTTTTCTTGTAGATTTTTTTCCATTTTTCCCCATCGTACAGGATTTCTTAGTTTGATAGCTTAGGCTAGGAATATTAGAAAACAGATTTTGTAATGCATGAATTGCCTCTTTTTTCGTAGTAGTAGTAATAGTAGTGCCTCAGCCTTATTTGTGACATTCTCTCAAGTTTTCTCTCTATTGTATAAAGTTAGAGCAATTCTATTTTGTGCCTTGCTTCATTCAAGTTATTTCATTACTCGATCACGACATATAAACAACTAGTAAATGAAAGAAATTGTCACATGTATGTGTAATGTCAGAAGCTCACTGATTAAAAATGACATGACTAGAAACATGGGGTTAGATCAGATGGTTTACTCACTTTCTTCCTGGTGGATGCTCGCAAGATTAGATTCTTAGTCCAACATTGCAATTTCAATTCTCCTATGGCAAGACTAGACAAGGCATATCACTTCTGACATGTCAAAACCTCAATTTTCGCATGTGGGTCATGAACAAATTTTGCTCCACGAATATAAACAGGGATCACTGAGCCTTGGTCTTTTTACTGACATATCTGATATTTGTCACAAAAAATGTTACAGATTTGCAAAAGCAAAATGCTAGTAATTATCAAAAGCAGGATGGCCTAATAAAATGTTGGACTACTGTTGGACTCTTAATTTCAATAGTTTTCATGATCACTTTGGTGTGTTGGTACGATATCTCATAGATACCAGGCAGGAAAACGAATCTTGGTCCATTCACAGAAGTTTTACAATCTCATTTTGCCCTTTCTGAGCCACAAAGAAGACAAACAAAATGTAGCCTGTAACTGAAAGCCACTAAGATTGACATTCCTGTTAAAACAAATTTAAGCAGAAACATAGCAATTAAAACTGTCAGTCTCAGATTCTGATTTCAGTTTACTTTCATTTCATTTTAGATCAACCGTATTCAACCCTGAAGTTGAAAGTTCACGAACAAAACAAATGGAATAAACTGGTTCTAGTGTCTCACCATATTCAACAACTCTTCCAATTTTCATCTTCTTTCTTTGCTCGATATCCGTTGGTTCTGATAAAGTCATCAAATGCAAAATCATGGAGATGATAACCAAGGCACTTCCAGTTTAATTATTATTATTGGATAAATGAACATGTATTATATTCACTATGATAATTTAAGCTTTGGAAGGAATGATTCCAAGTTTTTACATGTTAAAGAATGATGCTAATTTGATGAAAGAAAGATTTAAAGTTTAAGCTTCTAACAAATTGTTGTTTCCATTGTTAAAATCGGGGAGTGGAGAAGAGAAGCCTTGGATAAAGAAACAAGGTAGGGACCATGACCACATGGGCTAGGGGTTTGGGGTGACAAATTAAGTTCAAAATCAAGCGAAAAGAACTAGAGGTCTTGGGATTAATCATCATGCTTGTAATCTATGATACAAAGTAAAAATATAGAGATTAATCAAAACCAGCAAATGACAGAGAGTTGAGGTTATAGTCATAGATTAGTGAGTAATTGATAGCATAAACATCGCACACGAGTCCAGTAGAGACAACCCATCACAAGAAGAATGATTCAAATGAGTGGTAAGGTGGGCCAAATTTCCAGCCAGGCCATCTTTGCAAATGGTTTTCCTTTTGCAACCACTGATGAGTGATGATGAAACCTTGCTCTCTCTTTCTTCCATCATTGCTAAAAACTATATTATTGCATTACAGCACAGGCTTTTAAAGAGATCAGTCCTGAAATGGGGAAAACAAAAGCAAAAGAATGAAGGGGCCAAAGTCAAAAGATTTTGAAGTTTGTTCTTCAAACTAATGCCATCATCTTGCATGGAATTATGCCACATGCAAAACTTCCTTCTTTGTCTCTATAATTTGATTGTGATCATTTCCTCCCTTTTTATAAAGCAAGTAGGGGTAATAGCAGATTTTAGACAAAGCAAGTATATTTTCATGTTCTTATGAATCAATTTGAATGATGCCCTTTGACTCTTTCCTCTTTTTTTTTTCTCATTGACATATGGGTCCATTCAGAAGCCTTTGTTAAGATCTGAATTGATGGCATATCTTATACATGAGAAGTTGAATCAAGTAAACGCTTTCAATAATAACCTGAGTTGTTCGATTAGAATCTTCATAACTTCTATTAATGTTTTTGGTTCCCTCTTGGTTTTAAATGTCATAAATTTGTTAACCTAAGCAGAAACTACACCATCCAAGTCCAACTAAGAAGAACACGGTTAGGCATTAACACAACTGTCTCAGTTACCGTTGAGCTCCATAAATTTATTTCAAACTAACCATAATATATATTATGCATGTTGTTAGTTTCTTTTTAGATGTTAGGCTTGAATTTAATGAAATCAATAAATTTTTAATATAAAAATTATTACAATCTAAAAAATTTATAAATATTAAAATTTGAATATTAAATTTAGTAAGTGTCAATTTTTTAAAAAAAATTATACGAATAAAACGAGATATGTTTCGAATTCGGTAATTTTTTTTTCAATGGAAGAAAATACTATTTAAAAAAAGAAAAAACTGTGGTCTTCATTCCTCACAAAAATAAACAAACGTAGGTTGAGACATTTTGCTTTTGGACTACCCATCATTTTCACCATTCGTATTCCTAACACTACCAAAGACTGTTTAGATTTAGCTCTCACTGTTCATCAACTTTTCCCACAATGCCCTTCACCAATTCTCACTCTAATGACCGAATTCAATGGCCACTTGACTCAATACAGCAAGGACACAAAAATCGATGGGGTTTGACAAAATTTTAAAAAAATATAGTTAATAAAGGTGCAAAATTTAAAACAAAGATGATGAGAGACAACTAAAAAAGGGAAACTTGTTTGATAAAAAAGGAGTGTTTTTAAGACAAAAGAAAGAATATTCTGTGCCAAAGACATGCAAAGTAAAACAATCATCAAAAGCATAGGTGAGACTGAAACAGTGTTAAAGTACAAGCAAACCAAGCCACATCAAATTCCTTGTTTTTACTTTAGTTGTTGTGGGTTTTTATTTTTTTTTTTAATACAAAATAATTAAAAGAATGACACTCTACTCATTATGCTGCCCCGGGCAAAGTCTGAGTTGAATGGTTCTCTTGATGCTTGACACCAGAGCTTTCACTCGGTCATTTTAGGCACCCTTGGGCTTAGAAATAAGAGATGAGAAATGGATTTTCAGGACAGATACTAGGAGACACTCATATACATGAACACCAGCCTTTCTTCAACTGAGGTTTTAGTGTTTGGAAGTTTTCAAGGTCCTCTTTTTTGGGTATAAAAAGGTACTCTTTTTTATGCTTGTTTTCTCATTTGTATAGATAAGAGTTTTCAAGTTTCTATATTTCTTTTCCTTTTTTCTCTGGGATTTTTTTATCTGTATTCATGAGATAGGAGAATATCTAAAGATATATATCTTTTTGTTTCTTTCCGTATATTTCTGGGATTTGTTGTCGTTTGTATGGCTAATAGAATAAGTGTCTTGAAGAAATTTTAGGTTCTTACTTTTTAAAATCTGTATTTTCTTAATTTAGATTACTATTCAAGTTTGTTTTATCTTAGGAAAGCTGAAAGTTGGAGTGCTTCACATTTTTGGTAGTTTTATTTCAAATAAAATTTCATTTGTTGTTTTAGGCAGGTTTGTATGGTCTTTTTTGGTGAGGAGAGAGCTAATTTGTTACTGTATAGAAATCTTTAGCAACTTTAACTTTGGGTGGTTTGTGCCCTATTTTCTTAAAATAATGCATTGAGTTCTTGCTGAAAATGGCTGAAATTAGACTTACTAGGTTAGAGGAAGGCCAAACCAAGATTAAGAATGTCCCAATTGCTGTGACCCCTGAAGGTTTTTGGTGTTGTCCCTCTCCTGTTGTATTCCAAAAGACTCTTAAATCACAAAATTCTCTAAACAAATCCAAATCATCCTCCTCACCACCCAAGACAACTTTTCAGAAGAAACAAATCCCACTAACTGAGAAGAAGCTAATGACCACCCCAATAAGGTCAGCAGTTACCTCTGATGATCGAAGAGCTTTTACCTCAGATAATCCTGGTATCAGTGCACCAATTGTTCCTGAGAGGACTCCGAGGCCTAAGGTAGAACATGTGCCTAGGAAGGTGGCAATTGAGTTTGGTGAACCAGGAACCAGTGACATGAAGGTGATTCTACTTGGAAAGCAAGGGTTTTGTGTGAAACTGAGTGTCCACAAGAAAGTTCTACTGGAGCATAGCAGTTTTTTCAATGATAAACTTTCTGAAAAAGAGTCCGGTTTGTCTTGCCTTGAAATTGATGACTGCGAGGATGTTGAAATTTATGTTGAAACTGTGGGACTGATGTACTGCAAAGAAATGAAGCAGCGATTAATCAAACAAAGTGTTTCACGTGTGCTTCGCATTCTCAAGGTAATTTGCCCATTCATGCTATGGCCTTTCTATTTTAGGAGCTGAATCTTTTTATGTTGTGCATACAAATACACACATTTTAAGGACACCATTTTTAGTTTATTTACAATTTTAACAAATATAATCTTAGTAGTGGTACCCAACTGTTGTCATATCTCTTTGAACTTCATTTATGCTAGTGAAGAGGCAGTGTTGTTTCAAGCTCAGATTGAAGGCATTTCTGCATTCTCTGGCCCATTTGTTATTTCAAGACCTTATCTTAATTACCTGTTTTGACTCTGGGACCGTTTACCAGCATGATCTTTCTATAGTCTAGTTTTCCTCTTGTCAATCTGCCTAAATTTGGGTGCATAGGTTGTGTACTTGGATTTCATGCTTGCTATGTTAGAAATCAATATATCATTCTGTCAGCTTGCTAGTTTCAGTGATGTGGTTTGATTAATTTATTCAATTTGTTTCGTGTTAACTTTTTCTGGCATCTTCAATACGTGCTATTACTTCTGCTCTACAATATACTATCATTTTTTAATGTACGTCAATTCATTGGGCAATTAGATGTATTAGCTGTTTCCTTACAAAAGATATTTACATATACATTGTGGCATGCTGCGTTCTGGCAGATCAAATTTTCTTTCTTATGCTTGGAAAAAAGGGTAAATACTACTATGCTACCATTGAGGATTTTTTTATAAATATATTTTAGATTTACTTGTATTCTCCGTTAACTCCTATTCTTACTTTGGTAAATCTGTTGGCAAAGATGGATCTTCATCCTCAGAGGCAGAATGATGATGTTGCCTTGTGAAGGGGTGATCATGAGTTCATGACATGGAGAATTTGTAGAAAGGGGTTATAAAGGATTACGAATTGATCCCATTAGCAACCGCCTATGTCCTTCTGTTTCTCTGCTTGATGCCAATTAGCTTATTCTTCCTAAGAGTGAGAATGGCATAACCTGCATGTTCTGTTTCAAACTCACATACTTAGTGATGGATACTAATCATACTATGAACCTTTGAAGGTGCATGGTCTATTGTATGTCCATCCCTTAATGATATTCACTAGTTTCCGCCATGTAATAGTTGTTTATTGAAAATTCACCAGGATGTTGATGGATATCCAACAATATCATTAGTCATAAAATTCAATACATGTAGAATGTATTTGTAAAATGTCTTTTTTTTTTGCTATATGTGAAGCCAGCGTGTGTATTTTAAAATTTGTCCTTTTTATGAAATTTTCCTTATCCATGACATGAACTTCTTTACAGGTTGCTGAACTAATTGGCTTTAGCTCATGCATACAATCATGCTTGGAATACTTGGAAGCAGTTCCTTGGGTTGGCGAAGAGGAAGAAGAAAAGGTGGTCTCTTTAGTTTTGCGACTCCAGGGTGAAGGTATTGGGGTCACCCCAGTATTAAAACGCATCTCTTCTGATGCCTCTAATCCCCCCAACGACACAATTTCACACATAATGGAACTTGTTCTTAAAAGCAATGAGGAGAAGGGCCGGCGTGAAATGAAACCTATAGTATTGAAGCTTCTTAGGGAGAATAATAGTATTCCAAGCTATGCTGGTTCAGCTGACATCTGTAATGAAACTGTTTATACATCGTGCAGAAGCTGTTTGGATTCACTTTTGTCTCTGTTCAAGCAAGCGGCTGAACCAGAATTCACTGATAAACCCACGGACACTAAAGAACCAGTGGTGAAACAAATAGCTTTGGAGGCTGATAATCTCTCATGGTTGCTTGAGATTTTGGCTGAGAGGCAAGCAGCAGATGAATTTGCATTAATGTGGGCTAGCCAGCAAGAGCTAGTGACATTACATTCAAAGCTGCCCATTGTTTCTCGTTACCATGTTAGCTGCATTACAGCTAGGCTATTTGTTGGAATTGGAAAAGGGGAGTTGCTACCAGTGAAGGACACTCGTCAGTTGTTGTTACAAACCTGGTTGCAGCCATTGATCAATGACTACAGCTGGTTGCAACATGGCTGCAGGTCATTTGATCGGAAAGTTGTGGACGAAGGCATAGGTAGGACAATCCTCACATTGCCTCTAGAGGATCAGCAGAGTATTCTGCTTGCTTGGTTGGGCAGTTTTCTGAAGGCTGGTGACAACTGCCCAAATCTTCAGAGGGCATTTGAGGTCTGGTGGCGCAGAACTTTCATTAGACCTTATGCAGATGCCAAGGGCAACGTACTCCAGTCAGACAGCTGAATGACATCAAAGCGGTAGACTAAAAGAGATAACAACACAGGTGAGGCCATATGTAAATTAATTGGAATTACCTTTACGGTTTGTGGAGAATTCACTTAAACTTAAAATAACAATGCACTGAAAACGAAAGTATTTGTGAGTATTCGTTGGAGAATTTCTCCATTACCAAGAGTTGACATGGCAAGTCTTCGTGGATGTGGCGTGATTTCTGTTAACTACTTCATGCTGATGGCAAATGCTTGTCAAAAAGCATTTGTAACTATGTTTACTTCTAGAATTCAGTATTCCATATATGAAACTTTGGATTGACGAGTGCTGGTTGATTGTTTTGACCTGGTAATTCTCAGAAAGAAATTTAATTCAGAGGTTCCTTCCTATGAAATTTCCATCTGGCTTAATATATGGTTGTGCATTTTTCTTGGTGCAAATGAATGCCTTGTTCAGTTTATTAATATCTCTGTAGAATCCAGGTTTTCATTAGAAGTTAATTTGACATTTTAGTTGAGTAGCAAAACTGTGATTGAACATGTGTGATTACGGAAAATTGGGTGATGAAAAGTGAATTTGTTTCCTGAAATCAGTGTGGCCTGAGATTAGATATGATAATTAGTGTCATCGTTTCATGTAAAATATTATATTCGTATCATGTTTTATACAAAAATTACGTGTCACAGTTCGTATCAAGTTCGTATCAATATGAAAATATAAAATATAAATTTTTTGTTTTATTAAACTTATTTATGATTTTTTAAAAATTTTAAATCATGTTTTTTCGTATTTTTTATTTGTATTATTTTAATATCGTGTTATTGTATTATATTTTAAATTACCAAGTCTATCTGAGAGTCCAAATACAATGTTCAACTTACATGTACATTTTTTTTTTATTTAAGACTATCAGAGTTTGATTTCTGAACATTGAAAATAAAATTCCAATATTCTACCAACAAACAACAGATTACATGGCTATCGGCAATTTACATGTACACTTCACGTGACTCTGAAGATTAACCATTTTCTTACATGCAATTCTAGTTATTATTCTAAAGCTCTATGTTTCTGATTAACTTACATTTATAAACACTTCACATTCAGCTCTATGTTTCTGATTGGATATGCATAACTACAGACTTGATTGCATGTCCTATAATTTGTCCACCTCTACGATAAAGTAAAGATCAACACTTAAAATGGAGGAGCCAGGAATTGAGATATAGCTCGAAGTGAAATTATGGCAAAATCACTATGGGAAAGATGCAGCATGCAACTTGACTAACCCTAGCTGAGTGACTACCAGGGGTTAAACTCAAGAAAAACATGTGGAGAAACATGAACACGATAGTTGCAATTTAGTAGGACATCCTGAAAACGGAGATGGATGTCAATGAAGTAACAAATATTATGACTATACATGCTTAGTTCCTTTTCACCAATCTTAAGTCTTGACTCTCTCCTTTTGGGTTCATTTTCTGTAACCAACTACACTCTTTAAGTGCTAAATCAGGTTCCCTACCTAGACCCGACCAGAACATGGGGCAAATGGATCTTTTGCAGAGGGAATCCAATAGCAGTGACCCCACAAATGGCTGGATCCAGAAAATTTTGTTTTGCTCTACAAAATCCGTGTCGGTTTTTTGCTGCCACCTCATGTTCCGGGGAGGTGGGGCCTCTTAGCTAGTTCTAGCCCATCCTTGTCCTGGAAATTTCTATTACTCTGCTGCCATGGTCACAATGCCAAATAAAGTTGAAACTGCAATATAGAAAGCTACAACTGAATATAAAAGCATGTCTCAGTTTTTTAGGGTTTGGGTTTTTTTTTTAGAAAAAAGATCCGCATTTAAACAATAATTGAGTCAAATGCTTGTACCATGGTTTTCTTCATATATATAACCAGCCTACCCACATGGGCTGCAGCCTGGAAGAAGCAGAGCCTATCCAGAATTGTGACCTTATTTTACCATGGGTGCGTGGCTGAAGCCTGAATCTTAAACCAGTTCCATAAATTCTACAAAGATGAATCCAAGCCCAAAACCAAATTTTGAAGTGGGGTCGATTGGGTTGGCATCTAACGGATAGCTTTCGACATAAGCATTTCTAGGTGGGGTACAAATAGTAATGCGCCCATTTGTGGAGGGGTCCTCTTTGTTTTTTTAACTTGAAAAAGCATCGTTGAAATTAAAAGCACTCATATAAACTTTTCATCGGTTTCTTCATTGAATTTGTAATTTATATACCCCAAACAAGACAAAGAAACCATTCTGAAGGGACTTGGGCGTTGGCTACCCATTGGATTGTCTGGTAGAAGGTTTGAGCCTATCAAAAACCCAGGTGAGGTGATATTGAAACAGTGCTTAGAGAAAAAGGAAAAAAAAATTGGGTCATGATGAGGACCACACTCTCTCTCCATCGGCTATGAAAGTAACGTTTATCAAACAAAAAACAAAACGAAAAACCCTCATTTAAGCATCACCATAGATTCTAATGGTATTTCTCTTTCAGTCACCAGTACACTTGGAAGGTCGATTTTAAACCCTTTCTTTCATATACTAATATTCAATCAGCGTCACCTGAATGCTCTTACATCAAGGAAGAAACATGGTCAAGTACTTTTCCTTTTTTTTTTTTCCAGCTGCATGGTTAGTTTTTCACAGGTTGCTTCAAAAACATTAAATAAATCAAACAAGTCTTGATTAAGACTCCTTTAATGGATCATGCAAATGAAGGTGCAGTCATTTTTAAAATTTTTTTTTTATAAAAATCTCAATTCTCAGCATCTTTCTCTCGCTCTCAAATCAAGAAAATGGAAACACAGCTGAAAGTGACACTGCTTGCTACACTTATCCGTTGTGACAGTGAAATGTTTGGAGCCTGATAGGGTTTTGTATTCTTGCGGCTTTAGATAATGAATTAACCGCTGGAATATCATATCAAAACCCCATTGTTTTTTTCTTTTAATCTTTTATCCAACAACATTAATTATTTTCACACATGTAATAATACTAATCTTGGATTAAAAAGAATTGATGGTTGCAGCAGAACAACTCCGTAAATCTAAATGTAGACATGTTGGTTTAGATTGTTCTCGCAAAGGAAAAGCAACATATTAGGTAAAGAGTACTTGTTGCTTTGCAACTTCTTTGTTTTGGATTTCAAGGAACCTTTGGTTATCAGGTAGCACAACAACAAAAAAACATACCAGTCAGTTTAGTTAATAGCTCTGAGAGCAAAAGCAGACAGAAAAAACTAAGATTGACAGCCGATTGGCTTGGGGCTGTATACTAACAATGACTTGTACCAGCCACTTCCTGCCAGCCAATTTCTTTTTAGGTAACATTGGCTACTTTCACGTTTTATACCCTTTTTTTTTTCTCTCCTTTGTCTTTGGCATTTCTCCAGTCAACAAACCAAACAAGGAATCATTATGCAATGACTACTGTTGTCTGCAGGCACAATTTACAAATTGGAACAGTTATATGCTGAGCCACAAATATACCAGTACTATTTTTTGCATTACGTTTGGTAGCAGCTAGTTTGGGTAGGGACTAAATTCAAGCACAAGTTGAGGGTAACAAAGATTATTTTGGGGCAGTTGTACCCTTGTTTAAGGCTTAATTTGTGAAAGAAAATTAATCAAAAGATAACCTTTTCTCCCCAGCAAGACTCCTATGGAACAAAAGCAGTAGTTGGAACTTGGAAGCATTAAATGGAACTTGGAAATTAAAGCTTGCTCGGGCTGCAGGTGCATAGTGTTTTTTTTTTTTTTTTTTCTAAAGACAGGAAGAATTTTATTATAAAGATAGAGACAGAAGCCTGCAACAAAAAACGACATAAGGATTAAAAACCAGTACAACAAGGCCACGAGATCAGTAGTTCAAGAGACCCTTGATTTGGCTAAAATATATCAGCAACCGCATTAGTTTCACGCAACATCCAAAACAAAAGTGAAAGATAAGACTCTAAACAGTTACAAGGAAGTGACAAAATGAAGAGTTTGAGAGACCCCCGAGTTGGCTAACATATGAGCAACGGAGTTGGGCTCACGCAACGTATGAAGAATTGAAAAACCTTTGAGCCTATATTTGAAGCTTTTTGGAATAAGCTTTGTACGCCAAGGGACAACGGAATATGTGGTAGCCCTTAGAACCGTAATTTTTTTTTACAAAGGAGGCCGCAGTCTAAAGATAGGAGAAGAAGTTGTAAATGCTGGGATTCAGGTTCAACTACGATCTTAAAACCGCTTTCAACAATAATAAAGTGAGAGCAAGACCAAGCATAGTAAGAAAAGAATGAGAGTCCTTCCTTAATTGTCATGAATTCAGCATAATTGGAATCCTTCACACCTATTACCTTGAAAAATACCCCTTAATTATTCCATCATGATCACGCAGAAGCAGAACATCTCCAACACCAGCCGCACCTCCTTTGCCTTAAGCCCTGGCGCACAGTGTATCAATAGAAGGGCAGTGTTTATCTTTTTCTTAATATTTGTCTGGATTTTTGGTAGAGATAACATTGAAAGAAATTATATAGAAGAAAGTCAAATGTGAAACAGTTGAAGTAATTGGATTAAAGAGTCACTCCTAGGAGTAGACTCTAGAATAAGGCAAAATATAAATGTAGTAGCTACGTCCAGACCATAAGAAATTGTCAGGCTCTACAAAAATTTGCATTAAATTTGTAGCATGCATGAAGCAATTTGTTTCCTCAATGCTCTTTTATATATTCATTTTGTTCTTTTTTCTATTGTAAGGTAAAATCTCTTCGGCAGCATGCTCCATAAAACTTACTTTCAGATAGTAAAATTCATGCTGTCTTGTTTGGCAAGCCAAACTTACAAGATCTGGCAAAAATATCAAAATCATTAATACAACCAATGTTCATATACCTAACTAAGGAAACCATAATTGAAGTGCCTTAATTAAATTCATGTTCACCATCTGCAATCTACAGTTTCCACCATGTGGTCGTATATGACACTTATTTCAATCATAGATTGGTTGCTATCATCACTTCTCAATAGTATATAATCTGAAAAGTTCTGCATATTTTCGTATGGGTGCGTGTATTAATGGCCAATCACTGGAGATTTGTCGCCATCGTAGAAATAACAAAAACAGAAGAGCATATATGTTAATCTATAATCCTCAATTACGTATGAAAGGAGCAATTATATATGATCATATCTCTCACTTTCTATCCCTCAAAACCATGAATATTTCATGTTATTCAATAAAATATAAGGGTACAAAACCTTGAGTACATATAGAAGTAAAACAATCTACTATACAATTATAATAAGGCCAAATACAGCTAGCTAACATAATGCTACGTTTATCGTTATGCATTTTTTGTTTCTTGATAGAATTGAACAAAAAAAGAGGGTGACAAAAGAAAAGGAAAAAGAAATGGGAATTGGGATTCTTGTTTTCTATATTAAGAGAATATTATGGAATGTGTATGTCGAATTAACAGCCCCCAAAGTCTCTAACTGAGAAAGAAGAACTCTTCTCGGGGATGTTTCCAGCATGGCGTAGCCCTAGAGTGAGTGATACATCACCAGCCGTGGTCCCGAACCTTATGAATGTAGAACCAATGTCAGTGTTACCAGGAGTGGTCCCGTAATCCGCTGCAACAATGCTGCCACGAAGAAACGTGTCATCGACGCCAGCTATCCTCTGGTGCATATCCGAGTCATGGGTGGTGGTGAAAGGTTGTTGGGAGATGGTTGGCGCCACCTCAGTGGCAGTGGTGTTGGTGGTGGGAGTACTAGTAATAATGGTGGTGGTGGTAGTGGTAGTGGGGGTGCACTGCTTTGCTTGATTTTCCGAGAAGCATTGTCTATTGATTGCAATGAGTGAAGGGTCGTTTTCTTTAGCATTGATTTCGGATCTTTTGCCTGCTGGTGTGGTTGTTGTTGTAGCTGTTGTTGTCGTTGTTGGTGTTGATGCTGCTGTGGCAGCTGTTGCTGCTGCTGCTGATCCTGTTGTTGAAGGCGTTGATATTTGTGCATTGTTGCTGCTGTTGTTACTGTTGTTTGGGTTCCTTTCTCTCTCATTATTTTCTGCCTCTTCTTTAGTCTCTTGTTGATACATATCTTCCACCATGGGTTTCCACAACCGAACCCTGGCATTTATGAACCAATTTGAAACCTGCAAAAAGCCATACGATCAATTTCATTACATTACACCACAGGCATTTAAAATCCCAGGCAAAGACAAATCAATGGCAAGTTTAACATAACAAGACAAAATGGCAATGCTTATAAGCAAACCGTGCATCAGCGATGCTTTCTTTTTCTTTGTTTTGTTTCGATCAGAAAACCATTAATAATGTACAAAAAAGTCCATGATTGATCTAAAACTTTTTTTTTTTCAAAAAAAATCACAATTTAAAACTAAATAAAAGAATTACAAATATTTCCAAGAAACAATAGGTAATAAATAATTATCAGGACTACCCATCAGCCAGCTATAGATCTTCCCTCACATTTTGCTCCATGATGTCTGTTTCCTATAGAAAGCTCCAAAAAAATTGACAGTCTAAAGGCAGAATGATTAAAGGGGTGGGGGGGGACTCCATTTATGACCTGGAATCACAGTCTTTTTTATTACTGAGTTATAAATTATAAAAGACATAGGACTAGAATTAGGTGTTTGTCATACCTATCATACTTTGCAGCCACACGTTTTCCCATTTTGGCTTTCATGCAAAGTAAAACAGTGGAGAACAACTCTACATGCTAAGAACTATCACTTAAAATTAACAAACATTCAAAACAGATTATAATAAGTATTAATTACACAATCTGTTTGCAAATTAAAAGCTAGCTTTATGAAATGAATATAACTATGCTGGAGCAATAAAAAAAATGTACCTAAAAAAGTTTACGACTTTTTTTTAAGAATACCGTATAAGGCTTAAATGAAATATTTTTATAGAATTCGTGAAGTTTATTATTAAAAATGATTAATTTAAAATTAATAAATTAAAAGTTTTTGATAAATAAATAAGTATATAAATTTTGATATATTATTTAAATAATCATTTTTAATAAAAATTTTGATAAAATTTTTATTATTAAATAAATATCAATTAAATTTAAATTATAAATGATGTATTCAATTTTTTATATTTTATTAATTTTTTGTTAAATTCCATCAATCTATAAACTATAATTTTTTATTAAAATTTTAATTAAATATAAATGATATATTCAATTTTTTATATTTTATTAATTTTTTATTAAATTCTATCAATCTATAAATTATAATTTTTTAAGTAAAATTTTAATTCAATTACTTTAATTGATAAACTTTATAAATTTTACCCAAAAAATTTCATTTATGTTTTCTTGAAGTGTGCTATAGAAAAAATTGATCTTGGGTATATTTATGGGGCTTTATCGTTTAGTTTGGAGGGTTTGATACCGCTATTTGATATGACAGAGAAAGAAAGAGAATCAAAGCTGCAAACTTTCATGTCTCATCTTTGCGTACTTTCTCTCTGCCCTTTAAAAATAATCTGCTAAGTTCCTTCACCATTCAGTATTTATGGCTTTGTTTTCAGAAATCAGAATCTATGTCCCGGGGTAAAGAATCATACGGAAAAGGTTTTTATATAATTCTAAATGGAACACAAAAGCAAAAAAAAAAAAAAGCAGAAAAAGGTCTGTCCTTTTTCTCAAATCGGTGAAGAAGAAAAATAAAACCCAAATCCATGCTAGCTCAACTGAACTTACTCATGGTTCCTTCCTATGGGTTTCCTTTTCTCTTCTTATCAGTGTGAAGTGTTGCTTTTTGAAACACACAGGTTCAGAACCCAAAAATCTTTAATAAATCTTTATATCTATAAATATCTTAAAGGGAAAGAGAGAGAGGACCAACCTGATTTCTTGATAAACCAGTCTGTCGAGCCAACAGGTGCTTATCTGCATCGCTTGGGTACCTGAGAACGAGACCAGAAAATGACATCAGAGTCCTTGACCAAAACCGAATAAAGAGAAAAGACGTTTATGTACCGCTAGATGGGATTGAACTTTTCTTTCTTTCCCTGCATGGGCGTGAGAATCTAAGAGAAGAAAGATCACCAGCAGCAGCAGCAACAGTTTTGCAGAAGTAAAGAGGACAACTACTTTCAACATCTCTAATTATTTACATGCATATCACTTCTTTAATTATTAGTAACAAAAACAAAAAACAAAAAGCAAAGTTTTTTTTTTTTTTGTTTGGTTTGCTTTTTGCTTTTTGTTTGGGTGTGTTTATAACAAAAAAGGGCCAAGAAGGCCTGTCACCTGTGATATTATGTTTTAATAAAGATGTTTTTCAATAACTAATTTCAGTGTCTGTGAGTGACAATGAAAAGCTATAATGTATCAGGAGAAAAAGCAGAGAGGAAATGAAGGTCTTTTAACAGCTTTTTGCTGACGAGACAACATCCAAGGACACTGCATTATTGTTTTCCCTAAACGCTAATCAGAAAGTATGACGAAGGTGAAAAAAACTTGGATTTTGTGAGCTAATAAAGTGTCATTATGTCATATGCTTATTTATGATAGCTTGTCGTTCAGCATTTTAGCTTATTTTTTACCCCCTCTTATCCACTTTCATCAAGAAGATGCAGATTCTAGAGTTAGAGAATTGTGAGATAGGTGAAGGCAACGTACGGGTGGAGAAAATGTTCGAAAAGCCAGGCCCTCAAAATGTTGACAGAACGTTCAGGCAGACCCCTCTGGGGTCTCCAAGCTTCTTGTTCCATCATACCCATTTGATGGAATGCTCTTTGTTGTCTTAAGCTTTGCTCTAGCAGCCTTAGCCTCGGTGTCTCTCCTTTGGTTATGCCTGAGGTTCCAGCGCCATCTTTCTCACCCAGCAGCTCACAGCTGTGCTTCAATTGTGCTAATATCGCATCTTTCAAACACCTAAAATGCCTTGACATTGCCTTCTGAGCAAGGGCAGTGTATGGCACTGCCGCCCCAAAGCCCATCACTAGATCAAATGAGTTCACTACCATTTGCATTTGTTCACAGTAATGGTTGTATCTCCGGTCCACCTGCAACCATAAATTTCACCATAATTCATTGCTATTGTTAATCACAGTTTACGATGAAATATCAATGCTGATGATAATTGCCTTAAGTCCTTATCCCAATGCTGCCATTATAAAGGGCAAAAAACTTCTGATTTATTTACACAACCATGATAAAACAATAATATAATAATAATGCTGATGATCAATGACATGATTTGGCAAGGGAAGTGAGAGCGGACGATGAGAAGACAATGGCAAGTTCCTATTTCAGAATTTTACAACCCCAAAAATCATTGGACACGATTTAGTTGCTGTTTAAGGAAACCAAAAAGAATAAATGCGTTAATCAAAGCTTGGTACAGCGAAAGGATTGTTAATGGGAAGTGGGAACAAAGAATATCCTTGTGTTTTTTTTTTTTTCCTTTCCGCTCTCTCTTTCTCCAATACAGGCAACAGCGAATTGACCGGGGCTTGTATGAGTAAACAAAAACAAATATAGAAAAAAGAAAGGAAAAGGAATAACAACCCCTTTCCCAAGTACTTATAATATATATATATATATATATATATCAATGGCTTTCCCTGAGATATTACTATGATGGGTATGGATCTCTCAGGTAGCCGTAGCTTCACAATAATTTTGATACGCACTATGGTGGGCTAATGGTCACCTTCCAAATCGGAAGGAACGTCATTATGGCTGGAAGCATATACCCCTAATAGTAGTCTCTCGTGTTTCCACCAAACCACAGCGCCAGAGTGAATAGCTTAATACACACCCAATAATCCAATCAGTGTGAAACGACATTTATGAAATAGAAAAATCAAAGTGAAGCGTAATCAAACTCTACCAACTAGATCCTATAGAACCCTATTGCACCAGCCGGCTTTGCAGTATCTGGGTCTTCTTTTATTTAAAATATTCACTATATTCGTGGCCGGAATTTTCCTATTTGTCCCTGTGGTGAACTGATACTATTTGATTTGAAAAATAATGGGTGACTCAACAAATGAAAGGAGAAAAAAGAAGTATTGGGTCTTTGACTCTTGAAGGAGAGAGAAGGTGAGAGTGAGAATGAAAAAGAAAGAGGGAAATAGAAAGAGATTACATGCCTCATCAAGCATTGATAAAAGTTTGACCTTCCTTCTTTGATGTTCAATTCTATCAGCTCCTGATAAAGGAGGAAGATCCTTTGTTGATGAAGAGGAACCACCACCTCCAGCACCACTACTACCAGGATTAGAACTAGGGTTTGTATTATTTCTACCAAACTTGTTCTTCTTGAACTGGCCTCTTCCAACACTACAGAATTCTTCTAACAATTCCTGAGCTGCTTTAACATACTTTGAATTTCTCAACACATTGACCATCCCTAAGGAGGATGCGTATCCAACATGAACCTGATGGTTTTGACCCACTCCACCTTGCAAATGCAGTGGCTGATGATGACTACCCAAATACTTGTACTGAAACTGGGCAGCAGCAGAAGAACCCCCTCCTTGATTATAATACAGTAACCCGCCATCTCCCATCCTCAATTCTTCAGCTTTGGCAGCCTCCAAGTGTTGCAAAGAAGATGATAAAGATAGTGAAAGGCCTTGGCCTTCTACTACACCTCCAATTTCACTTGGGTTGTTGAGTTGGGAACTAGTGTTGCCTCCTTCATGAGAACTATCAGGAACCCAAGTGAATTGAGGTGGAGATAGTACAGTGCTTGGACCGAAAGCCCCTCCGGGACCCGATACATTAAACCCGTGAAGAGAAGTAGATGGGTTTGGAAGCAACATATGAAGAGTATTAGAAGAAGTTGCTGGAGGAGGAGATGGTGATCTTGGCTGCGGATTCATCAAGAAAAGATGCATGGCAGCTGCTGAGTCGGCATTAATGCTTGGTAACTGCTGATGATGCTGTTGAGCTAAACTGTCACGGTTATTGTGACCCTTTGATTCACCTAACTGTCCCAAACCCCCAACAACACCTTGTTGCCTGTTGCCATACCACTCGTTGGTATTACCTGGTGGCCTTTGTGCTCGATAATTAGGATGTACAGGCTGGTCTAATAACTCCGTAGATGCGGTGGCAGCAGCAGCCACACCTGAAGGAAAATTGAACATTTCTGATAACATACCTGCTGTTTCGTAAACAGGAAGAGGACTTGATTCTTCCTCTTCGATCCCTACTAATGGTGGAGGTGGTGGCTCAAAGCCTTGAACTCTTAGTTTATCTCTCGGGATCTGCTGTACTAAGTGATGTTGTTGCTGCTGTTGGTGTTCTTGGTGGCTGACGGCTGATCTCTCGAAGCCATTCGAGAAGCTGAAGATGCCAGCTGCTTGGCGGTAATCTTGGGACATAGAATTTGTAGAATTATTGCTCTTGCCTTGAATTGGAATCTGATGGTGAGTCTTCGAGTGTTGAGAAAGAATTGATGAGACAAGTGGTGGTGTTGCTATTTCCATATCAATATCTTCTTCTTCTTCATGATCATATTCTTGTTTATTTCCTCTCCTCTCCCGACCCCCCCACTTCTCCTTCCTTTCAGCCTTTGCTGTTCAATTATGGATCGGTGACCCACTAAGGAAAACAAATGACACCCATCTTGAAATTAGTGTTATTCATCATAAACAATTATATCATCAAACAAAAAGTAAAACAGAAAGAAAAGATCAAATTCTCTCAGTTAAGTGAAGGAAAACAAGAAAAAGAAAACAGTTATAAAGAGAGATGGATGAACCCAAAAACCAAAAAAAAAAAAGGCATGAACTGGGTCTTTTTCCATTATTTTTTCGATTTTCTTGTAACCCTTTTATCATTTTCAGCTTTGGTTATCATATTCAAAGTTTTTTTTCCTAATGTATGAAAAAGAAGTATATATAGGCAGACCTTACTAGAGTTGCAGAGTCTGAGAGGATGTAAAGCTCTTAGACATCGTTTTCTCTTCTGTGGTATTGAAAGCTTCTTCAATTCCTCCCTCTTCTTTTCTTTCCTTTCCTTTCCTTTCCTTTCTCTTTGTATATGTGTTGTCCTCTGTCTGTCGTCTCTTTCTTTCTCTTTCTCTCCTTTTCTTTCTCTTTGTTGCTCTTTGCTGTAGTGACTGTATTTTTTTTTTTGTAATCACCCTTCCATGTTGGAAAGAAAAGGTGAAATATATGAATATGACAAAAAAAAAAAAACAGTAATAGTAAAAGGAAATTTATAATGGAAATGAGGGAAGAAAAAATGGAGGCTGAAAAAAAAAAAAAAAAAAACTTTGCCCTGTCTCAAAAGAGAGAGAAATTGGAAAAGAAAAAAGAGGCCACTATTATTTCTTCTTCATTACTTTTTACTCTGTCCAATATTTTTATATTTTTATATTTTTTTTTAGTTTTTTAATTGACAATAAGAAAAAAAATTAAATTAAAGAGTGACATGGTAATAAAATAATAATAAGAAAAAGAGAAAAACAAAAATAAAAATAAAAACAAAGACTTGAGTTTTAATTTATTAAATTTATTTTTAAATTACAAAAATAACCTAATCTAGAAAATTAAGATTGTGGGTCATATTTAATTCTGCTTAAAATTATTAAAGACAAGTTGGCATTTTTTAGGAAAAAAACATATTTTTTAAAAAAAAAAATAAATTAAGTTGATTTTTTATTTCAATATTTTTAAGTTTTTAACATATGCAAAATAATCTAAAAAATAGCATGTATAATTTTTTTCTTATTTTCAATTTGCAATTTAAAAAAAATTAAAAAATAATGAAGAAAAAGTCGGCTATTATTGTAATTTTGATAGACGTCCTTTGGAAACCAACGCAAACTACGGAATAAAATAAAGATAAGGTCAGTACAAGGTCATCTCAGTGATCCAAACTACCACCATCCTTGGAAATGTTCATATGACCAAAATACCCTAGTTAATCATTGTATACATTCATCCATAGCTATAGTTGGTAAGGGTGAAAAGGTCATTTTGATATGCTTGCATTAATAATATAAATAAAGCTAGAGGAGCCAAGGAGATTACATAGAAAAAAAAAAAGAACAAACAAAAATAGTGGAAGAAGGAATAGAGTTTTTGATATAAGAGATAGGGATTTAAACGTAATTTTAAATATGTATCAATTATTGAGCTAAATGTTAGGATGTTAGAGATTTTATTAAAATGAAAAATATTAATATGTATATGATAATAATGTATGATTAAGGTCATAATTAAGAAAAATATTATAATTAGTATGTATTTTCTCTTATTGAATTTGATGAAAATAATAAATTAATTATAATTTTTTAAATATAATATTTTAATTATATATCTTTTGTTTTTAAGGCCATCAAAGGTTAAACATTAATTATTAAAATAAGAATACAATATTTTATTAACAAATTACATAATAATAATTATTGTTAATTATATTTAATCACACTCGCATGTAAACCATTTTATTAATAAAGAAAATCTACACGTAAAGGCTAAAATGGCACATGCCAAGGGGTTGGGGCCTTAGGGGTTGGAGTTGGTTGATGGGGTTCAGGGCAACTTAGGTTTTATGTGGATTGTAGGTTGTAAGTAAGGATAATAATATAATTCATATTTGTTGAGTTTATATCTATATAGATTAAATAAGATCGATTTTTATTTTTAAAACTCAGAAGTCGAGAGTTAGAGGTGGGTTTGGTATTTTTTTAAAAAAAATCAAGTACTCATCTTGACCTGTCTTGGTGTATATATATATATATATATATGTGTGTATATATATTAATAAAATTATTATTTAATATTTTAATTTAAAATATAAATTTAATAAAAATATTTTATTTAATTAAAATATAATTTATATTAAAAATTATTAAATTAATTTTAGATCAAATATGAATCAAACATAAATTATATGTATATATATATAATCAAAATCAAATATAAAAAATAATAATTTAATATTGAATAAAATGAGATAAAATATTTTAAGAATCAAGTTGAAATGGGGCGGGCCAACCCTAATTGTAATGTCTGAAAAGCACACATAACTGCTTTCTGGTTTGGTAAATGTCAAGATGGGCATGTTTGATTAACCTTTTTCTTATGTTTTTCATATCTACTTATGTTTTCTTGTTTTTCCATTTTTTTTTTCCTTTTCAGTTCCTGTAAGTTTTAATTATGTCTTCACTTTCCTTTCTGATATATATCTCTCTAATATAAATGTTGAATGTATATGACATCCAACAGAGCTTTTCAAGCAAACTTCCTCAAAGTACAGTACTCTAATTTATGACAGAAAGACATTTGTTTTCTTTGAAAGTAATGTTAGAAAGACATTTTACTTTTTTTTATATTTTCTTTTTATTTTTCTTCATGCTTTAAGACAAATTTAAAGGAATTTAATCATGTTCACTTGATCATTTAGTTAAAAATTTTAAATTGTAATCAAAAGTTTCAAAATCAAATAAATTTGAGATAAAGATTTTAATGCATTTGAAATTAATTATATTGATATCTTCTTTCTTGCATATATATTTATATAATTATATGCTACTAAGTAGTAATTGATTCCAAGAAAAAGACACATTCATTTTCCATTAACATGAATAAATTATTGCTTATATTTATCATTTTGTACCAAAAAAAAAAATACTTGATTATAAATTATAAGTTTAGCGGCTGAGTTTTCGAATTTACATGTTAATTATATATGACAAGAAATATAAATCATTGACGAGTATAAATCTTTGATCTTTTCACTTAATTTATCATGTATATACGAGTAAAATCAAGCCACCAGATCATAATAGCGATAAAGAGTAACTTGATTTAGCATTTTTTTCCTTGTTTCACACATATTATTGATATTAAGATTTGAACAATAAATAATGTTTTAACTATCTTTAAATAATATTTATAGGGATCAGTTACCTTACTAGTCCATGATAATTAAGGAAACCTTTTTGTTTAACAGAATATTTTTCTTGAATATATATACAAGTACATAGTACAAAAATTAAATTTAGGTAGGCCAGGTGACTTTGGTGATTAATTAATGCAATGTAATTATCCCAAGCTTTCAATCCCAACTTGCCATGAGAGAGGAGATATTAAACATGCATTAAAGTGTTATTATGGTATATGATCTCATGCAGCATTTTGGGTTTCTTTTTCTCTTCTTAATATATACATATATATATATATATAATATATTAGGTTTGATGATTTGCCATGAGAGAGGAGACATCTCCAGTTTCTTGGCTGAGAGATTCCAATGCAAAGCAGCACTATGTTTGTCAACCCTGGGATCAACTTTGGATTAATCATTGGTTTGTCTGTTGGAAAACCTTTTGTCTTGATTTTTCCAATGAAAACATCATACCCAAATGGAAGTTTTGGGTCTTAATTAATTATTTTTTAGTCTCTGAAACATGAAATTTTGATACCAAATTTCATGATTTTGTTATTTTTTAATACGAAATGTCATGATAAGCCATTTTTGATGATATATAATTTTTATATCATTTTTGTCAAAATTATCGTTGAAAATAAGCAACTTTTTAATTCTTACACTTCTTATCTTATAATAAAAAAATGTTTATTATGTACTATAAAATTGATTGAAAAAGCTTGTTTGAGATTTTTTTTATCTAATTATTAATACAAAAATGTATAATTAAATTTAAGTATTATATATTAAAAATCAATAATCAAATAAAACAACTCAACGAAGAACGAATCAATATATAATTCGATAAATTTAACATAAATTTGATCCAATTCACACAAAATAAAATTTGATCTAAAATCTTAAGATTTTTTGCTTGTCTTACCAATTAATAATTAATTCGTTTGAGATTTATTACAGAGTTAATAATTTAAATATGACGTAATTTCTATTAAACAAAATCACAGGAAACAGATGAAACAATTACCTAAAAAAAAAAGGCAATTGTGAAACATATATGGATGGCCATTCCTATCAAATCAAACATGATCAATAAATTTATTATAATGAAAATCTATGACGTGCTCAAGTTCAAGCTATGGAAGCTACAAGGTAAATGCTATTTGACTTTCAAAAACCCTATAAAACAACAAGTCTATGCACTTTCTTCTCTGCATGGTTAACCTTCTTCCAGTCACCATCTTTTACATTAATTATTTTATTCGAACAAGGTTTCTTCTCAAATAATTTCTTTACAATTTTCACATATATACTCCTATATATATACACTATATTATATACACCCATTTTTTATTTTTGGGATTTTGTTTTGTTTATTCAACTGCAAACCAGATTGAATGTTGACAGGCCAACCTTCTTTATTTTTTTCTCCTTTCAAAATCTGTTGTCTTTTGGGGGTAAGGTCACGTGAATCCCTCCCTCCGCTAACACGCTCGACAACCCAACTTTTCATCATTTGATAAAAGATCTAATCATCTTATCTGCCCCACTCACGTGCGAAAGTTGTGTCCACGCACGTGTCCTTTTCCTTTGCAAATTTAATGCCATCATGCAAAAAATTTTCTTCAAAGACTTTTCTGTCCTTTGCTTTATTATTCTCTCATGTTTACATCCCCATTGCCCTGGGAAAAAAAATGAAAAGCTACCCCTTTACACGAAATTGTTGTTGTTGAGTAGGTTAAAGACAGACAGCTTCGGGTTCCATAGATTCAGGGGCTCAAATCCTGAAATAAAAATATCAAGACAATTACAGATTGGCATTGCATCAATCAATCATGTTTCTTGTAGAAATATTTAAAATTTGATCTAGTTGTTTCATCATTATATATTGTCCAAATGTGGAACAGGTTCATCATGCTGTCCGATCAGGAAATTTTAGTTGTCACCGGTTGATGTACCCTGCACCCCTATTTGGTGGAAGACTATGTATTTTCTCAGACAAGATTGGATGAACTTCCTCGAACAGTGAAAAACATCAAACATCCTAAGATATGTGTGCATGTTTTTTTTTTCCTGAATTTATGGACAAAAAATGGAGAATCTCATAATTAATCTATAGTAGACAAAAAACCATGTTCAGATATTAAAATCTTTAGGTACTTATAGGGACGAAATAAGATTGATTTTGGTCCCTTTCGAAGCTCATTGTCATTGAACAGAGTCTGAATTGTTTTCACCAGTTCAATCACGCTGGATTTCTCTGTAGCCATGCATCAAATTTATTGGTTTTGATATATATTTCACAAGGATTAATGATAAAGTTAGAGAAGGGAATCATCCAACA